TTAGAGCAAGGGGACTGGGAGCCAGGACTGCGGGGTTTTGTCCCCTGCTCTGGCACCCAAGGCAAGTCTCTTCCCCCCTGCCTCAGTTTCCCCATTTGTATAATGAAGATAATGATCCCACACACACGCTCCGGGGGGCTGTGAACCTTAATTAAGGGGACAGCATTTTGAGCTCCTCAAAGCACGATGGGAAATGCCAGCCCCTAAGTGCCCCAGCATGAGATCACGCAGCTCCTCTCCTGCCAGGCTCAGAGCCTGGAGGCGGCGCCGCACCCCTCTGGTCAGGGCCCCGTTTCCCACCTGCGTAGCGATGCCCAGGTCCCTGGTGACCGACGGGGGGGGCAGGAAGTGTCCTGCTGACCCATGTCCCATCACCCCCCAGCGTTACCTGCAGCAGTTCGGGTATTTGCAGAAGCCGCTGGAGAGGCTGACGGAGGAGTTCACCGACGCCGAGCTGACCGAGGCCATGAGGTAACGCGGGCGCCAAGCGCCCTAGGAGGGGACAGGGCTGGGCTGGGGCACGTGGGCAGAGCGGGGCCTGGGCGTGGCGTGTGCGTGACCAGTGGCATGCTGCCCCCTGTGCGTGCTGTGCCATGTCAGAGAGGGGATGCCACCGGGTGCCTTGGCTAGGCCTTACCCAGATGTTCCTGGCGCCCCCCCCAGCCTGCGCCAGGGGGGAACCCATCTCCTCGAGGCTGCATGTGGGAGTCCTCTTCCCTCGAGCATCACCGCCCCAGCTGACCCTGCTGTCTGTGCCCCCCGCGTCCAGGTCTTTCCAGCTGGCCTCCGAGCTGCCCGCCACCGGCCTCCTGGATGATGCCACCCTGGCGCAGATGAGGCAGCCACGCTGCGGGGTCGAGGACCCCTTCAACCAGAAAATCCTCAAGTACCTGCTCCTGGGTGAGGGGCGGACAGACTGTGCGTGACCCGATGCGCCCGGTGGGGGTGGGGGGAGCTGAGTGCTGGGCCGCCTGGTGGGGTCGGGGGCACAAGGCGCTCAGCGCCCCATGGTGGGGGGACTTCTCTGTTCTGCAGACCTGGAGTCAAATGAGGGGCTTGGGGGTCCAGCTGGGTCTGGCCGGAGCTACTTTAAGGCGTTAGGGTCATGTTGGGTTGGGGTCCAGGTTCTGGCGCTAGGGATGGGCGGGGGTCAAGTCGGCGTTATGGGGCTAGGCCCAGAGGTGGAAGTTAGGGGGATGGAGCCAGGATCAGGGTGTCCCTTCGACCCCGAATGCCAGGGCAGTGAGGGGCCGGTGCTCTCCTGCCACTGGGCACTGAGGGCTAGAGGCCGGGTCCCAGCATCCCCTGTGGCCTCGGAAGGGGGCTGGTGGCTCCCACCCCTTCCCTGCTGGCACAGCCGATCTCCTCCCTCTGCCCCCCAGGCCGCTGGCGCAGGAAGAACCTGACCTACCGGATCTACAGCTCCACGCCGGACATGGCGGCCAGCGCTACCCGCCGGGCCATCCAGGCTGCCTTCCGGTACTGGAGCGACGTGGCCCCGCTGACCTTCCGGGAGGTGCGGCACGGCATGGCCGACATCCGCCTCTCCTTCCACGGTGCCTACTCCTGGACCTGCTCCCGCCCCTTCGACGGACCTGGTACACGGAGCCGCCCGGGGCAGGGGGCGGGGGCGGGAGACCTCCCCTCGAGGTGCTGCCCTGAGCGGGAGGGGCGCTCCCCCCGGCAGGCCGTGCTGCCCGCAGTGTGCAGCAGGGAGCGGGGCGGGGGGCTCCGTCGGGCTGGGGGGGCCGCCCTCATGTCGCGTCTCTGGGCGCAGGGAAGGTGCTGGCTCACGCCGACGTCCCCGAGGAGGGCACGGTGCACTTCGACGAGGACGAGCTGTGGACGGAGGGGACGTACCGTGGTGTCAACTTGCGCATCATTGCGGCCCACGAGATCGGGCACGCCCTGGGCCTGGGCCACTCCCGCTACCCCGCCGCCCTCATGGCCCCTGTCTACAGTGGCTACCGGCCCCACTTCCGCCTGCACTTCGACGACATCGACGGCATCCGGGCCCTGTACGGTGAGGGATGCCGGGATCTCCCCCGCCCGGGTCCTTCCCCCTCCCACACCACTATCCCACTGGCTCTGTCCCCCCCAAGTCCTGCTGGGCCTGGTATCCTGACCACCTCTGGTGTTCCACGGGGGGACCCCACTCCTCCTGCCCCATGTCTCCCCCTGGGTCTGGGTCCAGCTCCCCTTCCCCCCATGCCCTCCTGGAGCCCCTTCATCCCCCGCCCAGTCTGTAGTGGGCCAGAATAATCACTGTCTGGTGTTACTTCAAGGCAAAAAGACTCCGGCAGTGACGCTGTCTGGGACCCTGCCGAGCCTGTCGCCCACCTCCCCCAGCCTGCCGCCCACCAAGGTGCCCGACCCCTGCACCGACGGCTTGGACGCCCTGATGTTCGGTGAGCCGGAGGGGCTCTTTTGTGGGGGGATTCCCAACGGGCCATGAAAGAGAAGGAACCGAAGCCCCCTGGATTCTCCAGGGTTGGCACCTGGGGACGGAGACAGATGCCGGGTGTTCGGGGAGGGCTGCCCAGGGAGGGACTGAATTAGACGTGAATATAAAATAATTGAGCCAACGGGCATGGGAACCGGGCCACCCGCTGCCGCCAGCCTGAGCTGAAATGGAGCGTTCGGGGGGATGGGGCCCTGAGCAGGACGAGTGGGTTTATGACCCTTTGGCGAGTGGTGGGGGCCGGGCAGCACCCACCTAAAACTGAGCCTGTGCCCCCTTTGCTCACTGCTGAGGAACTAACGGTCGCCCACCCTGTGCCGTGTCCCTGGTTCCGCGCATTCAGCGTGGGCTCAGCCCAGAGCCTGTGTAAACCCCATGCCAGCGGCACGAGCGTTTGCCAGCCCAGCCCCGGGAGCTAAAACGTGTGTGCGAACCAGTGCAGCCCAGCCCCTGTTTGCAGCAGGGCCTGGGGCTGGGCCCCGACTTCTGTGCCGTCGTTGCGGGGGCCCCAGGCTGCGCCGGCTCAGGGGATGCCGAGCGAGGAAATAGATTTTGGGGCCAATTCGCATTGCGACCCATCTCTGTATAAAGACAAGCATGTGTCATCGCTCCAGGCCGCACAGCCCTCCCCCCAGCGCCCCACATCTGTGAGGTTGGGGGCAGCCCACAGGGCATTAACCCTTTGCTCCCCTCTGCCTCCCAGGCCCTTATGAGCAGACCTACGCCTTCAAGGGGGGCTATGTCTGGACCGTGACGGATTTCGGGACTGGCCCCCTGAAGGAGATCCCGGCCCTGTGGAAGGGGCTCCCCGAGCGGCTGGACGCGGCCGTGCACTCCCCCCGCACCGGCAGGAGCTACTTCTTCAAAGGTGGGACGAGCCTTGCCAGGGGGTGTCAAAGGGGAGATGGGGGATGGGGAAGGGTAGGTTGGGGGGGCTGGCTCCTGCCCCGTGGGCTTATGGGCCCGGCTTTGGGCACCATTCTGCATCGCAGAGACACCCCCGCTTCTGCTGCAGGTGACAAGGTCTGGCGGTACCGAGGCTTCCAGCTGGACCCCGGCTACCCCAAGGCCCTGACCCGCGTCCCGGCCAAGATCGACGCTGCCTTCTACTGGCCAGGGAACAAGAAGATTTTCCTCTTCAAGGTAGGCGCCGGGGCCCGGGTGCTGCTGGTCTCTCAAGGGCCCCAGCCCGGGTGCCCCCTCCCGCCCCGGCCTCCCCTCTGGCCCCTGAGCCAGGCCGCCCCTCCCCCGGCCCAGGCAGCCTTGGCCCACTCCGGCTTTAGGACCCAGCAAGCGGAGCCGGCTGGGGCAGGAATTCCCAGCCCCGCCCCTTTGCCCTGCCAGCCCCTTGGGGCAGGGAGCTCCGGGACCCGCCTTTCGCCTTGTTCCCATGGTGCCCAGCTGCCTCCGGCCTGAGGGCGGGTTGATCCCAGGACAGGAGGACGCGGGTTGGCTGGCAAAGATTCCGACAGGGCAGGCATAACCAGTCGGCCAATGGCAACGCAGCCCCGGTATGTGCAGGACCATGCCCCCCCTCATGGGCTATATAATAGAGCCAGGGCCCAGAGCATCCTGGGAAGTGTAGTTCACCTCCTGCAGTGGCCATTTCCACGCTGGTCCTGAGGAACTCCCTCCGCCCCGCCCCAGCATCCTGCCAGATGCATTCTGGGAGAATCCGTCTGGCACATTGTTGGCTCCAAGCCAGGCGCTGGGCAAAGGGGGGCCCCCAGCCGGCATGGGGGGGGACCTAGCCCTGGGGAGCCGAGCCGCCAGCACCCCTCCGTTTTGCCTCCCTGCGCAGGGCACCGGCTACTGGCAGTGGGACGAACTGGCCTGGAGCGACTTCAGCGGCTACCCCAAGAAGATCTCCAAGCTGTTCACCGGGGTGCCCTCCCACCTGGACGCGGCCGTGGCCTGGGAGAACGGCCGGGTCTATTTCTTCCAGGGGGGCCAGTACTGGCGGGTCAACACGCAGCTGCGGGTGGAGAAGGGCTACCCGCTGAGCACGGCCGAGCGCTGGATGCACTGCGAGGCCTAGGCGCCCCCGCGGGATGGGCCCGGGCGCCCTGGGATCGGGGCCAAGGGATTGGAGAAGGGGGGGAGGGGTTTTTAATGGGCCAGAGGCGCCACCTGCAGGCAGCTGGCGGGAACGGCTCCGGGACAGGACATTGCGGGGAATGGGGGCCTTGCCTGGGCATTGTACCCCGGGGAGCCCCTGCTCCCTCCCTGCACAATAAACCCCGTCACCAGGGCACGGGCAGCGGGCTGAGCGTCATGGGGACCCTGCGAGCTCTGCGCCAGGGCAGCATGGCGGTGGGCCTCCTAGGAGTGACAGATGATGGGGGCCTGGCTGTTTTCTGCCCCCCAGTCGCCACACCAGCCAGCCCGCCCTGGAAATCCAGCACCCCCTGCAGTGGCGAACCCCAGCCCTGAGCTGCTTGGCCCCTGGGGTCCTGCCGAAGGGGGCAGAACCGGCGCCCCCAGGGCTCGCAGCCTGGAGGACACCCTGCAGACAGACACACGGAGCCAGGCGGCCAGATCCGCTCTGTAAGGCAGTTTAATGGGCCCCCCCCCGTACAGTACATAGCGTATAAACGGGGACCGGCTCCCCCCTGGAGCCAGGGCTGAGATGTGGGGCCAGGGCTCCCCCCCCCCATGGCCAGTGCCAGAGCCCGCGGGTTACAAAAGTACAAAAGCAAAGTACTGCGAGAAGAGTTAGCGGGGCTGGGCTCCAGCTGGCATCCTCGCAGGCTGGGGCGGGGATCTGGGCCCCACCACGCTGGGACGCCCCCTTGCAGGGTGTTTCCGATGGCTCCAGTGCCCCGAGCCTGGGCACTCCCTGTGCCCCCTGGGGCCGGCTGCTGACTTCCCAGAATGCTCTCTACCAAGGCAGCGGCTTGCCCCAGAGCAAAGGGCTCCAGGCCAGCCCCTCCGCACGGCGTCTGGGCCCCTGCGGCTGCCCCACCTGCAGCCCCCACCGGCCCCACCCGGCCTTGGGAGAGATTTAACTCAGGGCCCCAAGGCAGAACCCCCCAGAAATGGGCAGCAGTGCCGGGGGGGGGGCAGGGGACTCTGAAACTCTGGACGTTATAGGGGGGCCCAGAGGAGGGTCCCCAACCTGACACTGGTCGAAAGGAACCAGCTGTGGGCCCCGGAGCCCCGCCTCCCCTCTGGACAGGCCAATAGGGGCAGGGGAAGGCAGCTGCTTTGAATATTTAAAGGGGCAGGCGGGCAGGTGCCCAGGCCAGGTGGGCAGCGCAGCTGCTGGACTGGGGAGAGGGCGCCAGGAGGGGCGAGGGAGGGTCAAGTGTCACCAGCAAAACGGTCCCCCTGCCCTCCCCCCACCACTGCCGCCTCCACCCCTAAGGCACAAGTGGAATGAAGTGAAGCCCCTGCCCCCGTCAGAGGCGCCCGCCGGGCGTGGGGGCCGTCAGGGGCACGGTGGAGCCGCAGTCGTAGTCCAGGTCGAGGATGGTGTGGGCAGTGCCGGTGCCCAGCTGGCGATCCCGCAGGCTCTGGATGTAGCTCTGGGTGCGCGGAGGGGACAGGTCAACACAGGGTGCGCCCTGAGGGGGGCCCACTGCCTCCACCCACCGCGGACGAAGATCCCCCTTCATCCCACGGCGCCAGGACCCCAACCCCTGGCTAGGCAGGAGAGCCCAGCATTCACCCCATACACTGGACGTGCGGCATCCCCATTCCTACCCCTTACAGACGGCCTGGGCCTCTCCCCTGCCCAAATCCAGCTGGCTCTGGGGCAGAGCATGGCAGCCAAGTATAACGTGGATCCCAGCTGAGCTATTCAGCCTCTGACAAGGGAGCAGGGCTCCGTGATCGCTCCGGGGAAGGAGAGAAGGGGGCTCCCCACTTACCGGCGCCAGGACGTCGCCCGCGTAGCGCTTGACGGGGTTGGGCTTGCGCCGGTAGCTGCCCTCCTGCGGGGGGAGGCTCTGCCGCTTCTTGGCCTCCCTCTGCCGGATCCGCAGCAGCTGCAACCGCTGCTGCCGCCGGCTGATGATCACTGGGAGGGTGAGTCAGCGTGAGCCTCCGCGCCGGCCCCCCCACCGGGCCCCCTGGCTCTGCGCCCCCCCCGCTCTGCGCCGGCCCCCCCCACTCCGCACCAGGCCCCATACGTGGGAAGCACTGGACCAGCTGGGGCTCGCTCCTTCAGTGTGGCAGGGAAACTGAGGTACGGCCAGGTGAGGGAATTACCCAAGAAAGGGTCAGTGGCTGGGAATAGAACTCAGGAGTCCTGATTCCCTCCCCCGACCCCACCCTCCCTGGGCTCTAACCCACCAGACCCCACTCCCCTCGCAGAGCCAGGGAGAGAACCCAGGAGTCCTGGCTCCCAGCCCCTCCAGGAAGGGGGTCTCAATGCAGCTTGCGGAGGTGGGAGAAAAGAGCCAGGGGTAAAGGAGGTCGCCACCCCTGTGCCCCTTACCCCACCCCCAGGCTGGCTCACTGCCTCCCAGCACCCCTGCTCTGCCCCTGCCCTGCAGCCCCGGGTCCCACCCACAGGACCCCCACTCACGCTCCGTGCCTGCCCCCCCGTCCCCCCCGCTGCCCCTCTGTCCCCCGCTCACCGTCCGCGTGCGAGTAGCCCCCGGCCGTCAGTTTCCACTGCAGCAGGAGGCCCAGGAGGCTGAGGGCCGGCCAGAGCCCCAGCACGGCCCAGCTGTGCCAGCAGAGTGGGGAGGAGGGCGCCAGGCGCAGCCGGTCGTAGACGTGGTGCAGCAGGGCCAGCAGCTCCACGAAATAGTCCACGCAGACCACGATGACGGCGGCCCCGAAGACGGCCGTGGACAGCACGGTGAGCGGCTTCTGCCAGCGCAGGGCCAGCAGGGCACAGAGCAGCGCCAGCCCCAGCAGGCTGCCCACGGGCACCCACAGGCTCTGCGGCTGGTAGAGTGGCTCGGTGGCCACCAGGGCGGCCGTGGCCAGCAGCAGCCCCAGCAGCAGCCCCGTCATGAAGAGCCCCACGCTGTGCACCAGCATGGTGACCAGCCCGCACAGCGCCCCGATGCCCAGCGCGATGCCCGCGCTCACTTCCAGGCTCAGCTGCGTCTCCAGGACTCGCTCCTTGTAGCACAGCAGGAAGATGACCAGGGAGCCGAAGAGAAGCCCCGACAGGAACATGATGGCTTTGAAGCAGCGGTAACCTGGGAAGTGGGGCGGGGGGGAGGGGGAGAGGTTAGCAGGACCCAGCGCGTGGGGCAGGGGCTCCGGGTGTGTGCAGGAATCATAGAATAGAATCATAGAATATCAGGGTTGGAAGGGACCTCAGGAGATATCTAGTCCAACCCCTGCTCAAAGCAGGGCCAATCCCCAATTTTTGCCCCAGATCCCTAAATGGCCCCCTCAAGGATTGAACTCACAACCCTGGGTTTAGCAGGCCAATGCTCAAACCACTGAGCTATCCCTGCCCCCGGCAGGAGATGGGGGGGGGCCTGTGGGTCAGGAGGGCGGGTCACGGGCAGAGCTGGGGAAGGGGGGAGCCCAGAGCTGGGGCAGCAGGGGCTGCGGGTTGGGAGTGAGGGGCACCGGCAGGACTGGGCTAGCCGGGGGCTGCGGGTCGGGAGTGAGGGGCACTGGCAGACCTGGGGGGAGCCCAGGGCTGGGCTAGCCGGGGACTGCGGGTCGGGAGTGAGGGGCACTGGCAGGGCTGGGCTAGCCAGGGGCTGCGGGTCGGGAGTGAGGGGCACCGGCAGGGCTGGGCTAGCCGGGGGCTGCGGGTCGGGAGTGAGGGGCACCGGCAGGGCTGGGCTAGCCGGGGGCTGCGGGTCGGGAGTGAGGGGCAGCAGTGGAAGTTGGGGGGAGCTCCACAGGATCCAGCCCCACATGAGCCCCTGCCGCCCGCTCACCGAAGCAGCTGTAGATGACGCCGAAGAGGCAGCAGAGGGCGCAGACGGCGGCGGGCACGGCCTGGTAGCGACGCTCCAGCTCCAGGCTGCAGGGTTCCAGGCCGGGGGCGCCCGGCCCCAGCTCCGTGGCCTGCTGGTTAAAGCCCCAGGGCTCGGCTGTCAGGACGAGGGGCAGGAGGTCGGGCTCCATGCTGGGTGGGAGCCAGGGCCCTGCAGCCATCCACACAGCAAACCTGTGGGGGGGCGCCTGGTGTTCGGAGGGGTCACAGATCTCTAGGGCTGAGCTCCTGGCTTCCCCCGAACCCCCTGTGCAGCCAGAGCCAGTCACGTCAACCCCGCACCTCTCCTCCCCCGCCCCGCCCCACCCCCTCCCTCTAACCCCCACCCTCTCGGCCCAGATCTCCCCTGAGCACCCCCTTCCCGGGGTCTGATCCATTCCCCGCCCCCCATCCTCCTGCCCAGGAGAGGCTAATCTCTTCACACGACCCAGGCATGGAAAAGATGACTAATTTCCCCCCAACAGCTGGAATCAACACGCAAAACGCCAGCCCCTCCCCCCCAACATCTGGCGGCTGCTCCAGAGCCAGGACACAGGGACACATCTGGCAGCCTCTCCTCGGGGCGGGGCGAGCATGGGGGGGGGGGGGAATCAGAGAAGCACAAGGGGGATCTCCCCTGGGTGCTCGTACTGCACCCATCCCCACTGCTTCCCACCTGCACCCTTGCTGGCCCCACAGCTCCCTGGAAGACACCCCCCCCTCATTCCCTACAGCCACCCTCCCCCCAGCTTTCTCCCACCTGCCCTAAAGCCCCCCACCAAGGGTTCACCTCCCCAGCTAATGTCCATGACTCGCTGCTCTCAGACCCACCCACCCCCAAAATGAGGGAATCCTGCAAAATCCAGGGGCTGGCAGCCTCTCCCTCTCCCCCTGGGGACAGGGTCTCAGGCATCGTCCTGTCAGAACCCGATGTGGGAACTGGGCCGGCCCCCCACAGCCAGGGGAGACAGAGCCTGTGAGCAGCATGGGGCCTTTCTCAGCTCCCCATTACCCGCCTGCCCTGCTGGGGGTATCAGGAGAGTCCCCCCACACTGGGTTCTGCTTGGCAAGCCGTTTCCCTGTTCCATGCCTCAGTTTCCCCTTCTGTGGAATGGGGCTCCTCTCCCTGCAGGGGTTTAATCTCTCCATGGGGGTGTGCCCAAATGGCAGGGCTCTCAGCCAGGCGGGGTTTGGAGAGACAGAGGGGACATGGGGTGGCAGGCGGCCTCCCAGCTGGGAGGGGAGTGGGGGCGTGGAGGTGGGGCAGGCGGCCTCCCGGCTGGGAGGGGAGTGGGGGCGTGGAGGTGGCAGCCTCCTGCATGAAGGGGGCCCGGTTATTTGATCCCAGCCCACAGTCACCCCCCCCCGCATGAATCCTGATGAACCCCCTCCCCAGGGCGCCAGGAGCAAAAGGGCCCCACCTTCCTTGGGGCTAGAGCTGGGGTGGGGGATGGGCTGTGCTTCTCTCGATCATTCATCACCCAGAGGGGAAAGAGTCAGTCCCTCCCAGCTGGGGGAGGGGGGGCAGGAGGGCCCTGAGCCCCCACATCCCAGGGTTCCCCCTGATGGGGCTATAGGGGCCTGATGACACCCCAGAGCCCTGCTCTGCTGCAGCCAGACCTGCCAGTGCCCCTCACTCCTGACCCTTAGCCCCCTGCTAGCCCATCCCGGGCTCCTCCCAGCTTTGCCGATGCTCCTCACTCCTGACCTGCAGCCCAGCCCTGGGCTCCCCCCCAACCCCCAGCTCTGCCCATGCCCCTCACTCCCGCCCCGCAGCCCCAGCTCTCTCTGGCTGCAGAGGCACCCGACAGGGAGGTAGTTTAGGAGACACAAAAACCAGTGGGGACATAGACGGGACTAAACTCATTTCACTAGTAACCTGGAGCAGGACTGGGAGGGCCAGGCCCAAGGACTCAGGTTTTGTGCACTAGCCCTGCAGAGCCCAGGAGGGTACCTGTGAGCGAGGGGGGATCACTGCTCTTCGGAGAAAGGCCTGTAGGATTTAATGGAAAGGGGTTAAACCAAGGAGACAGAGAAATTCCACAACAGACCAAAATGCCAGCAAATGGGACCCGTTCTGTGAACCATCCTGTACCATTCTGTAGTGGGGAGAGCGGGGGCTGCAGGTCGGGAGTGAGGGGCACCGGCAGAGCTGGGTGGGGGGGAGCGCAGGGGGCTGCGGGTCGGGAGTGAGGGGCACGAGCAGAGCTGGGTGGGGGGGGAGCCCAGGGCTGGGAGCGCAGGGGGCTGCGGGTCGGGAGTGAGGGGCACCGGTGGAGTTGGTGGGGGGGGGAGCCCAGGGCTGGGAGCGCAGGGGGCTGCGGGTCGGGAGTGAGGGGCACCGGCAGAGCTGGGGAAGGGGGGAGCCCAGGGCTGGGAGTGCAGGGGGCTGCGGGTCGGGAGTGAGGGGCACCGGCAGAGCTGGGGGGGCAGGGCTGAGATTCTGGGGCACAACTTCTGTGTCAGGACTGGCACCCTACATGCTGCCCTCAGAGGCTCAGGGACACCAGCCCAGCCCCCAGCCCCCTCTGCCCTCGCTGGGCACCCTGCACAGGGCCGGCAGGAGGGGGATGAGGCTCCTGGCCAGAGGGGCTCGGGGGCCACGGGACCAGGGAAATCAGCTTAATGCTGGGAGCGAGGGAGACAAGGCTGAATAGTGGGGGGCACAGATTGGGGGGTCGGTCTGGGAGCTGGGGAGCCCACGGGGCGGGGGGACTTGGTCTGGGAGCCCGGGGGGCACAGGGGTGCGGGGCTTGGTCGGGGACCGACGAGGACACAGGGGTGGGGGGAGGCTCGGTCCGGGAGCCGGGGGACACGGGGGGGGGGGTCCCGATACTCAGGGATTGTTTAAAAGTTTGAGGGGTCTCGGCCCCCCCCCATCGCTCTCTCGATACTTTGTTTTGCTGTAAACCTCCCGCGGGGGCCCCAGAGCCGGGTCTCGCCTCCCGGTGCGAGCTGGGGGCAGAGCGGGGGGAGTCACCGACCCCCCCGGGCACCCGACCGCTCCCCAAACTTCTCCGAAGCGCCCCGGGCAGCCCCCGGCCCCGGCCCCCCAGCACTCACCGCCGGCCGGGCTGCCCGGGAAGGGCCCCGCGCTCCGGGGCTAGCGGCGCATCCCAGCTCGGTCCTTTTGTTGCGGGGCGAGTCCCAGGAAGGGGCCTCAAAGCGCCGCCAGCCCGGGCCCCCCGAGCCCGGCCCGCTCCGGTCCGGCTCCGGATTAAACTCCGCCAACGGCTCCGTCCGGCAGCAGCTGCGGGGTGACATCAGCCGCGGGCGGCCGCAAACCGCGTGGCCGGGGCAGGGGGCGGGGTCGGGGGGACCCAGGGGGCCGAGCCCCCCCCCCCGGTCCGGGGAGAGCGGCAGGGAGGGGCCACTGCTGGGGCGGCTCCGGCGTCCCCCCCCGGGAGCCCCCCCGCCGCTCGCTGGGTGCGGGGCCCGGATGCTTCCAGCTGGAGGCTCTGGCCGGGAAAGGGGCGAGCTGGGGGCTGGGGGGGCTCCCAGGGGCCACAGGGCTCCAGGGGCCCGTCAGACCCAAGGGCGCTGCCCGGGGCCCAGCCCCTCACGCCCAGCACCGGCTCCCCAGGCTCCTGCTCCCGGACCCCAGCCCCAGGGTGGGTCTGGCTGGGCTGGAGTCCGGGCTCGGTTCCCCTTGGGCAGGACTGCAAAGGCCACGGGGCAGGGCCCATCTTGCGTTCACGCGGGGCCCTAGGCCAGCCTGGCAGCCCGGGCCCTAGGCAGAACCGGGAATCCGAACCTTTCAGCGGGCAGCGCTGTCTGGTGGTTGGAGCGCGGTGCCCCGGGCTCTGATCCTGGCCCCGTCGCTGTCGCCCGGACAAAGGCCCCCGCGGCCTGGAGCCAGCGTCCCACGGACGGGGCCTTAGCCCAGGATGTCCAGAGCCAGGTAATTAGGCCTGTCACTTCCCCCGTGGCCAAGCCTGGACTCTGGCTCCTCAGCCCAGCTGCCTGCCCTCTGCCCCCAGGACACCGGCGCCTTGGGGCCCTGGGAGTCAGGACGCCTGGGTTCTATCCTGGCTATAGGGCAGTGGGCGAGGGCCGGGGACGCTGGAGTCAGGACGCCTGGGTTCTATCCTGGCTATAGGGCAGTGGGGTCTAGCGGCGAGGGCAGGGGACGCTGGAGTCAGGACGCCTGGGTTCTATCCTGGCTATAGGGCAGTGGGGTCTAGCGGCGAGGGCCGGGGACGCTGGAGTCAGGACGCCTGGGTTCTATCCTGGCTATAGGGCAGTGGGGTCTAGCGGCGAGGGCAGGGGACGCTGGAGTCAGGACGCCTGGGTTCTATCCTGGCTATAGGGCAGTGGGGTCTAGCGGAGAGGGCCGGGGACGCTGGAGTCAGGACGCCTGGGTTCTATCCTGGCTATAGGGCAGTGGGGTCTAGCGGCGAGGGCCGGGGACGCTGGAGTCAGGACGCCTGGGTTCTATCCTGGCTATAGGGCAGTGGGGTCTAGCGGCGAGGGCCGGGGACGCTGGAGTCAGGACGCCTGGGTTCTATCCTGGCTATAGGGCAGTGGGGTCTAGCGGCGAGGGCAGGGGACGCTGGAGTCAGGACGCCTGGGTTCTATCCTGGCTATAGGGCAGTGGGGTCTAGCGGCGAGGGCAGGGGACGCTGGAGTCAGGACGCCTGGGTTCTATCCTGGCTATAGGGCAGTGGGGTCTAGCGGCGAGGGCAGGGGACGCTGGAGTCAGGGCTCCTGGCCGTGTCTACACTACACCGAGTGGTGACTGACCTGGTTTAGCTGCAGGTGGAGCTGGGCCCTTTCAGCTTCCCTCCCTGGAATGCGGCGCTGCCCTGGCCCCGTTCCTGGGCAGCCCGGCCTCTCCCTGGGGGCTTGCAGTTGCTGGCCGCGGGCCCAAGCAGGTGCCTGAAGCCACGCCAGCGTCCCAGCAACCAGCCAGACGCCAGCTGGGCTGCAGCAGAGGGGTCCCTCTGTCCTGTGGGGAGGGGAGGGCCTCGCGGGGTCAAGCAGCCCCCTTGCTCCTTCCCAGGGCCTGGCTATAATGGGAACAAGAGCACTGTGCAATAGAACCCAGGCGTCCTGGCTCCCAGCCCCCCCTGAGCTGAGGGTAGAACCCAGGAGTCCTGACTCCCAGACACCCCTCCCCCATTGCAATCTGCTCTGACCCAGCTTCAGCTGTGGGGACAGATGGTGCCAGCAACAACCAACAGTCACCGGAACCTGCCCCCAGGCCCTGCCTCTGCCCCAGCCCCAGCAACCACTGAGCCCCGGGGAGACCAGCTCCCTCCCTGGCCTGGCCTGGAGGGGCCTTAGCGGCCCTGGGGCAGTAGGTCCAGTCCCAGGAGTGACCATGCCCCAACACCGCCCTGGGAGCTGCCCATCTCCCCCGTGCCCCAACACCCCTGGGGACTGCCCATCCCCCAACACACCTGGGTGCCCCCCATCCCCCTGATCCTGCCCGCCGCCTCATTTTCCCAGAGGCAGGTTACTCCCCTGGTCTGTGTTGCCCCAGCCCTTTCCCCCAGCCTGCCCATTCCCCCCCCCCCGCCATCCCGGTGCCCTCCCTGCCCGGGGCCGGTGCCAGGGAGAGCTGCAGAGAAGCACCCGGCCCATTCACAGGAGCCAGGAGCCTGTGGGAGCCTGAGCTGCGGCCAAAGCCTGGCTCTTGGCAGCCGGATTTTCTCACCCTCTCCCCAGCCAGCTGGGCCAGCCCTGACCCGGCCTCCCCGCCAGCGCAGTGCCAGGCTCCCACAGGGCCAGCAGGGCGCTAGCTGGCATCCACGGGACAGAGACACCAGGATTCTCTTTGCTGTCCAGGCCTGGAGAGCGGATGGATCTCATCTTCCTCCTTATGGGATCCCCGGACGCCTGGGTTCCGCTGAAAACACCTCACTCATCGCCCCACAAGCCTGCCTCCTTTGGAGTTAGAGCGCTGCTTGAGTGGGGGGAAGGGGCAGGGGGCAGGCCCGGGAAGTGACTAGGACCCGCTGCGACCAGCCCTCCAGGCCTGGGCTTGGCTCCTGCGGACGAGGGGCGGTGAGTGCAGGGGGCTGCGGAATAGGGGAGTTGGGCCAGGGCAGCCCCTTGCCCACTGGTGAAGTGTGGGGCTGGCACGGGTGTCCCTCCCCCCCAGCACGCGAGAGGGGCAGGAACACGAAGCACCAGCTGCCCGGAGCTATCTCTATTAGCCACACCTGGGGGGTCAGGGTCAGAGCCTTGCCAAGCACGTGGCAGAGCCATGCTCCTGGGGCCCCGTGGCCCTGGGGTTCCCCCAAGCAGGCTGCCACCCGCCTCGCTCCCCCCGCTTCAGAGCTGATCCCTCGCCCAGTGCCCCCTGCCCTGCCCTCCCGCCCAGGATTGCAGCCGGGATGTGAAGGGACTGTCTGTTTGGCTCTGAGTGGATCAGGTGCAAGGTGCATTGCAGATCTCCGGGCTGGTGGGGGGAGTCCAGGGCCGGGCTAGCAGAGGGCTGTGGGTCAGGGTTGAGGGGCACCGGCAGAGCTGGGGGGGAGCCCAGGGCTGGGAGAGCAGGGGGCTGCGGATTGGGAGTGAGGGGCACCGGCAGAGCTGTTGCAGGGGTGAGGTGTGGGAGCCCAGGGCTGGATCAGGACTGAGAGAGGCATGTCAATGTCATTTTTTCTGTTACCTGTGGGGAAACTGAGGCACAGAGTGGGGACGCTCGGAATAGAACTCAGGAGCCTGGACTGACAGACCTCGGTCTAACGCAGTCCTCGGTCTCGCTGTCTCTCACGCCCCAGCCCTTGTGGGAGCGGGAGGCCACGGGGGACGCCGTGTCTTGGAACAATGCAGAACAGCACCCCTCCCCCCTCCCGCCCCCTCCTTCCTCCATGGCACAGTGGAAGCTCTCAGGCCCCGACACTGGAGACAGAGGGAGCTTTGTGTCTCCCCAGCGCCAAGGTCGAGGGAGCACAGCACATGATCCGCCAGCCAAGCCCACAGCCACTGCGTCAGCCAGAGCAAGGCAGCGGGCACCTCCTGGCAGAGGGGCTGGGGCAGCCTTAGGGGCCTCCCCAATGCCTGCTCCACCTTCATAGTGATGGGCAGCCTCCTCCCGCATTGAGCTGCCAGGGCCCGGCACCCCCAGGAGGGCTGCACATGCTAGCAACAGGGTCAGCAATGTCCTCTGGCCACCACAGGGGGAGGTTAGTGCAGTGGGACTTGGAGCAGGACTCCTGGGTTCTCGCCCCAGCTCTAGGAGGGGAGTGGGGTCTAGTGTATTGGTCCATGGGACTGGGAGCCAGGACTCCTGGGTTCTCGCCCCAGCTCTGGGTGGGGACTGGGGTCTAGTGGATTGGTCCCTGGGACTGGGAGCCAGGACTCCTGGGTTCTCGCCCCAGCTCTGGGAGGGGAGTGGGGTCCTAGCCCCAGTTCTAGAAGTCAGATTCTTTCTCACGTGGCGAGGGCCGGGCTCTGCTACTGAGTTGCTGCCTCACCTAGGCACAGCCCTAGTGCCCCACTCGTCCCGGCCAGGAGACCCGGGGGCGCAGTGGCCCCACCTGGCGGAGGGGGGCAGAGCCGGCGTTAACGTGGGCGAAGCCAGTCGCTGCCCTTGGAAAGACGCTGCTAAGACCAGGGGGGCCAATTATCTTTTTTCAAGGTCCAGAATCCAGAGAAAATGATGCAAAAAGAACAACCATGACAGTAGGTAAATGAGAAGAAGTTGGGGTTTGGTCACACGTGCCTGGCACGCCGGATTTGGCCCGCAGGCTGCCTGGTGACTGCCCCTGTGCTAAGGAAACACAGAGAACCCCTGATACCATCTTTCTTTGTTTAGCCCCTCTCATGGAGGAGCCTAACATGATTTACACAGTTCACATGGCAAGCGCCTCGCCCAGGACAGCAAGACTTCCCAGGGTTCAGCTGTCCAACACTGAAATGCAGCTGTCCCTGGGGTGGAGCATGGCAGCTACTTACCAGTGCACAGCAACAATGAACAGGGATCAGCTACCCAGGAGGGAATTGCAGCTGTCTCTCGGGTGGAGCACTCCGGCTGTTTAACAGCAGGCAGCAGTGGGATGCACATTATGGTAGAAAGGAAGAAGACTGTATCCAATGGAAACAATAGGAACTGAGGTTGGTTAATTAAGGTCACATGGTGGGAAAGGACCCACTGGCTCCAGGATTCACATCTCTGGAGGGGGTTGACCCAGGAGGTACGAGCCAGCCCAAAGCCTCGGTGCCCCTATCCACATCCAATTGTAGGGCTAGTTCCTGGTCCTGTTTACATGGGTGTAAATCCAGATCGGCTCCAATGGAGATACTGTGGATTTACAGTGGGACAGCCGAGGTCAAGATCTGGACTTTATCTTCTCAGGGGCTTGGAAGGAAAGTCCCAAAGGGTTGGAGGAAAGGGGCAGCTGGGAGACTGGAAGGCCCCAGTCTGAACCTGTGTGGGATCATGGGCCAAATTCATACCCAGTGCAACTCAGTTGGCCCTGGTGGAGTTACACCGGGGAGAAGTTTGGCCCCAGCTGTGTGTGGGGGCGCATGTGTGGGAATAAGAACCTAAGAACGGCCAGACGGGGTCAGACCAAAGGTCCATCCAGCCCAGTGTCCTGTCTGCCGACAGTGGCCAGTGGCAGGGGCCCCAGAGGGAGTGAACCTAACAGGTAATGATCAGTGATCTCTCTCCTGCCCTCTGTCTCCCCCCTCTGACAAACAGAGGCCAGGGACACCCTTCCTTACCCATCCTGGCTCATAGCCATTAATGGACTTCACCTTCATGAATGTGTCCAGCTCTCTTGTAAACCCTGTTACAGTCCTAGCAGCCTAGACGACTGCTCCTTCCCCTGCATCAGGTTGTCTTGCCCGTGATCCAGCTGCAAAGCCTCCGGGACTCTCCCGAGGGCTGTCTCTGCCTCCCTGGGTTACAGGGGCCACCAGCAGTCACTCGGGAGTCGCACTCGGAATCAGGGGGCTGGAATCATTCGTACCGTGGGGGTGCTGAGAACCATTGAACCAAACTGTGAATCCTGCATATGATGGAAACCTCTTCAAACCAGGGGGTGCGGTAGCTCCCCAGCACCCCCAGTTCCAGCGCCTAGTCTTGGAATGCCGTGCCACCCGGTGCAGATCTGCTTCCCCCTTCCCTGAGCCAACCGAAATAGCCGTGGGTGCTGCCTCCCTGCCAGCAGGCTGGAGTGGGGTTCGAAGGCACACGTCGCTTTCTGCTGGAGAAAGGGCTGATGCTTCTCATCGGGGGCTCTCCAAGCAGAAACACCCATTTCTGTGTCGTGGGAGCGCCGGTCAGGCACTGGTAGCTCCCTTGTGCCAGGTGGGGCACAGACCTGGAACAAGGAGATCGCCTCTGCCCCACAGAGCGTGACAGTAACATTAGCCCCACTGAGCTCTGCTGACCAGGGGGTCTCGTGGTGTGTTACAGAGTCATGGTCCCCGTTTTACAGATGGGGAAACCGAGGCACTGAGCGGGGTCGTGACCTGCGCAGGTCACCCAGCAGGCCGGGGCAGAGCGGGAATAGATCCCAGAAGTCCCGGCTCCGTCTCTCTGGATTCTCTTTCTGCGGAGGGGGCTGGGCAGTGCCCAGGGTGATGGAGCGTTGTGGGGGGCCTGGCTGGCCCGGGGAGGGGCCTGGCTGGCCCGGGGAGGGGCCCGGCTGGCCCCAGGGCAGGGGACTGGCTGGCTCGGGGGGGGCGGGGAATGGGGCCCGGGGCCAAGCTGGGGCCCGATTCAAACCCGCTGCCTCTGTCCAAGCCCCAGGCTGAGGCCCGACGCGCTCAGCACAAGGCGCAGATCCGCAGAGGGCTCCTGGGGCGCTGGCCCTTTAAGGGGAAGCCCCGCCCTCTGCCCCGGAAGTGGAAGCTGCCGCGGTCACAGGCGGGCGGAAGGCGGAAGTGGGGAGAGAGGCGGACCCGGGGGGGCAAGAGGAGGAGGACACCCCCCCCCGGGCACCGGGAGCAGGTGAGTTCCCCTCCCCCCCCGTCTGCCCCCAACTCCGCACGGGGGGGAGCCCCTGCCCCTCCCCCCCGTCTGCCCCCAACTCCGCACGGGGGGAGCCCCTGCCCCTCCCCCTCCCCCCCCGGTCTGCCCCCAACTCCGCACGGGGGGAGCCCCTGCCCCTCCCCCTCCCCCCCCGTCTGCCCCCAACTCCGCACGGGGGGAGCCCCTGCCCCTCCCCCCCCCCCCGTCTGCCCCCAACTCCGCACGGGGGGGAGCCCCTGCCCCCCCTCCCCCCGGTCTGCCCCCAACTCCGCACGGGGGGGGGAGCCCCTGCCCCTCCCCCCCCCCCCCGGTCTGCCCCCAACTCCGCACGGGGGGAGCCCCTGCCCCCCCCCCCCGGTCTGCCCCCAACTCCGCACGGGGGGGAGCCCCTGCCCCTCCCCCCCGGTCTGCCCCCAACTCCGCACGGGGGGAGCCCCTGCCCCTCCCCCCCCCGGTCTGCCCCCAACTCCGCACGGGGGGAGCCCCTGCCCCTCCTCCCCGATCTGCCTTGTGCCCCCCCATCACTGCGAGTTTGGCAGCTTCCCTCCCCCCCCAGCCAGCAGCCCGAGGGGCGCGAGTGGGGCTGTCAGACCCCCCCCGACTCGCCTGTCTCCTGCCCCTGGCATGTGGGGAGCCTGTCAGAGCTGAGGCCCCGCGGTGGGGGAGAGGACCAAGACCTGGCCGGGTCTGTCTGATCCCCCGGCCCCCCGCTCTCTGGTGCCTGTGGCCCGGTGCGGTTGGGCAGTGCTGGTATCCTCATTGTACGGGGGGGTCCGAGGCACAGGGAGGCCGAGGGACACCTGCAGTGAATGGGACCAAGTCCGAGGCTCCTGCTCTAACCACTGCTCTGTCCTTCCGCTTCCTAAGCCCAAGGCAAATAAAAAGCTCCCCCCCCCCCCCCCCCCCCCAAGCTTTTTGTTTGAAATCTCCCGGCTTTGAAGCCAATCTCACCACTTGTTGGGGCCTGACAGTGTGATATCTGAGTGCAGTTGGCAAAACAGGAAACTGACGCAGGATGAATGTGAAGTAGCTAGAGCCCTGATACCCTGGTGAGAGGCCCTCTAGAAATAGGGGTCTGGTACAGAGATGCCACCACCCAATTGGATTAGGTTGGTTTCGCTAGTCAAGGTTTGGGCAAGGATTTCAGGGCCATTGATAGGGTTAAATCCAAGCAAGAGAGCTCAAGCTTGTCCTAATAGTGAGCGTGGGTTCACTGGGACTCTGCCATTTCGTGTGGGTTGTTTGTAATCCAGAGTCAAATGACTGCACTTTACTATCTCTTCTCCTCATAGGCACTTACACGGCTGTGCTTTTGTACTGACCCCTGCTGGGTCGCAGGAACAGCCTCACAGAGGGTCACTTCTGATTCTTGGGGCCAGGGCAGGAAACCTGGTGATTTAAGCACTGGCCAGTGGATTTCTCTCCAAGTGCCGGTGAAAGCTGCGTGCAAGGAAGTTCTGTATCGCCACGGCTAGCACGTCGGCTTCCCATGTGGGGCGAGAGGGGAATTCACTGGCACTTGCGGTGGTAGATCTTTGAGATCTGAATACCTGAGATCCGGACTACGACCGTCTGCTGATCTCAGTGGCTCAGCCGCAAGCAGCTATTGGGTGGCTGCTGCTGAGCTACGAATGAATTGAGGTGGGGGAAGCTCTGTCTCCCCTTCCAGGGGTCCCCAGTCTGCTCTGCTGTCAGTGTGTGTCAGAAGGTAGGTCCAGTCGCATGGACTGTGGATTTGAGAACAAGCCTTGGAGACCACTCTTGATTCACAGCCAGGGCTGCCCTTTGATCCCTCATGCTCTGTGTCTTGGCCTTGAGCCTGGTTTTGATGCCTTTGATTTTATTTTATTTTGTTTAATTTGCAGGACAAAGGCTACAAAATGACAGTTGTAACTTAACCCTTGCTGGTCCAGGACAGCTCTTGGGGCAAGGCAATAGAGAAGCAGATCTCTGGAGGAAGAGGGATGTGTGAAACCAAACTGGATAGTTCCTGCTGCTGGAGTGGCAAGCTCTCCCGGAGCAGGGGTGCACCAGGTGCCAGCCTTTGTGGGCATAAGAGATCCTTGTTCTCAAGTTTTGGGGATCTGGGAAGCACTGGGCCTAACGGCTGCCAGTTCTTCCAAGAATGCTGCGGTTCTTAAGGCCCAGAACGTATGTCTCCAAGCCAAAGCTGGCCGAAAGAACTCCACAGAGCCGCCAAAGGCTTGGAACCGATGGAGGCTCGGGGGCCAGCTGCTACTGGGACTCCTAGTGTACGTGAGACATTGCTAGCTGAACTATCAGCCGAGAGGCTAGGGAAGGTGGAGGAGGCCGGCCATTCTCCCCCTCAGGGCTTTCCAGAAGGCGGAGGGCAGAGGACTTCCTGCACCACAGGGGAGGATGTTGGTTGGAATGGAAGCTGCGACCAAGTACCGATGGGGTTGCTGGAAGGGGACGGGTTGTTGCACTTCACTGAGTACAGTGCCTCTGGCTCCTGTCTGTCCAGTTACGAACGTTCCTGTAGTTGTCAGGGGGAGAGTCTGGATCCCTCCAGGACTTACCTGGAGAAGGGGAATTGCTCGTGTAGCTTCACTTGCCAGCGCTGGGCTTCGGAGTCCCTTGCAGCTGAGGATGAAGCCTTTGGTCCTGATTCAGCACCATGGCCGCAGGGCCAGGAGGAAGACGAGGAAGATGACGGAGTGTCCAAGGCCAGTGAGGACCTGTACGGCTCTGGCAGGCTGCTCAGCGGCAGGAAGAATGGGAGACGCCAGAGGCATCGCTCTGGCACGAAGGACAAGGAGGAGGGGAAGGAGAATGCCAAGCGGGAGGGTAGGTCTGTGCCGGCTGGTGGGAAGCACAAGCAGGCCAGGAAGAGGAGCCATGTGGACCGGCGGCGCCACTTAAAAGCTGAGGTCCCCAAGCAGCTGGAAGAGCTGGCCCGGGTCTGCGTCTCCTGTTTCAAGAAGCTCATCAAGCTGGTGCTGGTCATCACCCATGAGTGCGGCGAGTATGTGGAAGCTGGTGGGAGGTTCCTCTACTCGTGCTGTCAGCTCGACGCCTGGGCCCTGGGCTTAGCCCAAGGCAGCACGAGGACGTGGATCCAGCGGGCCAAGAGCAGCTCGGGGAAGGCAGCCCGGTGGCTGGGTTCCTGGGGGAACTGGCTGTGGCGGCTGCTCAGGATGCTGGGTGCCCTGCTCTTCCTGGTACTCATGCTGCTCCTGGGCAGCCTGCGGCTGTGCTGGCGAGTCTCCAAGTCCCTGCTTCTTGCTGGGGTAGGTAAGCTGGGCAGAACCAGCAGCATGGCCTGGCTCCTCTCGCTCCTGGGCTCGCCCTTCCTCCGCAGAACCTGGGCTCTCTTCAAAGAAACCAGGACTTGCAAGTACGTGTCACACTTGCTGCAAAAGTGGCCAGGGCTGCTTGGGGCAGCCAAAGGGCTAAGGACCGATGAGCTGGGAGCGGCTGCGACTGGCCCGGATCTTAGCGCAGGGGGGCGCTACCAGCCCAGCCAGGAGGTGGCACGGCTGCTGGCCCTGGCCGACGTGCCCGAGGAAGAGCTGAACCCCTTTCAGGTACTGGGGCTGGAGGCGACTGCTTCAGACTCAGAGCTGAAGAAGGCCTATCGTCAGCTGGCTGTGCTGGTGAGTGTACCCTGGCGTGGTGGGGGATGGACATCGCACCCAGCCCCATGGCACCCGAACACCTGGGGGGACATGAGGCAGGAACTCCATTTGAGCTGCATTGTCCTCGTACGGGGAGAGAGTGAGCCACTTTTCTCTAGCCTCTCCCCACTGAGGCTCAATACGCTTAATCCCCTGCCCCCATGTTACAGATGGGTAAACTGAGACACGCACTGTTAGGGTGACTTGTCCAAAGGCCACGTAACGTGTCTGTTTCAGAGCTGGGCTGAGACCCAGATTCCTTCCTGCGAATTCCTTGCTTTGGCGGGTCCACCGCAAGGCCTCCACCGCAAGGTGGGTCCACTGCTAGGCCAGAGGCATGGGGATCGGTGTTAATAACTGGCAGCAGCTCCCGAGTTAGGCTTGTGCTGAGCCTGGCGTGGGCTGCAGGACTGAGCAGCTGACTGACTCTAGTCCCCGGAGCTGCCTGGTATCTCAGCGGGGGATGCTGGGCTTTTGCTGTCCTTTTATAAAGTGAAACTTCTGCTTGATGTTTTGCCCCATGTTCTTCCTGTTTTCCTGGGTTCCTCTAACAAGCCGTGGTGCAGGGCAGCCTTCGCGTGCTTCCCGGCCCTGATGGCTAGGGGCAGTGGACTGATGCTGCTTTGTCACTTGGAGTCGCCATGTGAGCACCGTGGAGTTGTGGCGCGGGCCACGCTGGGAGAGCTTGATGGCTTTGAGGCTCCCCTGGGTGCTGGCTGTCCCTTCTGCCCCAGCTCATCAGCTGGGCACCCCCTTTTTTGCCCTGGCCGGGATGGTGAGCCCTCCTGCCTTTGCTGCTCTGCTTGTGGTGCCTGAGAAGGAAGACAAGAAGTGACAGGTGGGGGCCGAGGCTCACCAGCTCAGTAGCCTGGCCTTGGCCAGACCAGAGTGGCCCATTTGGCCTTGTCTGAAGACATGTAGCACCCACTCCTTCTTTCTTCCCCTCCCCCGACCCATCTGGCGGTGCTGTCCTGTCCTGTCCCTGGAGGGGGCTCCGTCCCAGCCAGACCCCTCGCACCAGACGAGGTCAGCGCCGAAGGAGCCTCTTGGTGGTCTCAGGTTCCCATGTCTTGCTTTGCAGGTTCATCCCGACAAGAATGAGCATCCACGGGCGGAGGAAGCCTTCAAGGTGCTGCGAGCTGCCTGGGATATCGTGAGCAACCCGGAGAAGAGGAAAGAGTACGAGATGTGAGTTGGGGGCCCCTTCCCTCCCCCTAAGGCAGGACGGGGGCGAGGGATGGAGGGGAGCCTGCAGTTGCTGGTGGCGGATTAGAGAACATGGCCTCCTCCGTCACATCTCTGTGTACCTGAGGGACGGGTGACGGGGAGGAAGGTGGGCTGGGATCTTGGGCTGTGCTGCTCAGCCCCACCGTGACTTGCTGATCTGATCTGCCCACTGAAGTCTGTACTTTGGCCTCAGGCCTGCCCTGGGGCTGTTACTTCCCCTGCTGACTGGGGGAGCAAGGATGGCACCTTCGGACGGGTGTCTTGAGTGGGACCGGTCCTCTTCCGGTACTCGCCACTGCGAGACGTTGCTTTGAGGCCCGAGTGGATGATGCTCCTGTGCTGTGCTGGGAGGACACAGCCAGGAATTTCTGAGTGAGGCACCAAGGGCTTTTGATGAGCCGTGGGTCATAAGAGCAAAAGCAGAGCACGAGGGCTTTAGCCGAGAAACCTCCTGTACTTAAATACTCTTTAGAAGTCGCTGTTAGGGGGCCAGAGTCTCTGTCAGAGAACTGGCAGGTGGGAATTTGAGGTGTCCGATTATAAGTGAAATCCCTCCGGCTGCTCTTCTCTTCTTGCCTGCGATCACCGGTGGCCCAGGTCAGGGTGCGGGCGCTGTTGTGCAAGGAGCTGTACAAATGTGTCCTAGGGAGCTTACTGCCTGGGTTAATGGGGAGCTGCCATAGGTGACGGGAGCGAACGGGGTGCGTGGGTGGGGCTTTGGTGCGGGGTCAGGCCTGGGCCGATGGAACGAAGCTGAGGCTCTCCAGGCCCGGCTGCCCAGTGTGGCAACCTCCCTAGAGCTGTGAGTGCCGATCTTCTGCCGGCTCCTGACGCCGCGTCTCGGCCAGCGATGGCCTGGGGAGGTGGTAGGGTGTGTCCCCCCACGCTGGCTGCAGCAAGAACCTCGTGCAAGCCAGCCCTGCTGCCAACGGGGGCTGAGCCCAGCAGGGAGGGGCGTGGGCTGACTGCTGGGTGCAGAGGCTGTCCTGTGCCGGTTCCTCCTGTGGGCTCCCTGCCTGGGGCGTGACTCACCCCCATGCCGTTGTGATTGCAGCAAGCAGATGGCAGAAAGTGAGCTGACAAAATCCATGAATGAGTTCCTCACCAAGCTGCGGGACGACCTGAAAGAGGCCATGAACACCATGATGTGTAGCAAGTGCCAGGGGAAGCACAAGTAGGTGCTGGCGTTCGGTGACTGCTTTAACCCCCTGCTTGTAGCCCTGGTGCCCTGCCTCCTCCTGGGGCACCAAGCGTTACCCCTCCATGGGGCCTGGAGCTCAGGAGTGGGTCTGGCCCTGCGTGGCGGCCGGAATGGATCAGCCAGACAGTCCTGCAGCTGGTGGGCTCATGTCCTGGCTTTCCCAGTTAGCTGCGCTTAAGACCATTGTGCTTCTTCCTTAAGCACAAGTGTTCTGTGGTGCGGGTTGTCCTAGAGCATCCTGGGAATTTGGAGTGCTGTGGGAGGGAGGACGCGTCCCTCTGGGAGGGGACATGGCAAAGCTGGCCCCACTCTAACAGCGTTTGGCAATCTCCCTGCTGCTCTAGGAGGTTCGAGATGGACCGAGATCCGCTCAGCGCTCGCTACTGCGCGGAGTGCGGCAAGCTGCACCCTGCCAAGGAGGGAGACTTCTGGGCCGAATCAAGCATGCTGGGGCTGAAAATCACCTACTTCGCCCTGATGGATGGGAAAGTCTATGACATCACAGGTACGGGAGGCATCCGTGGGGCCAGGATGTGCGGCCTGACCAGACCGTGAAACTGACCAGTTGTTTGCCAGCCCCTTGAATTGCAGTTACACCAGGCTGATGAACCATGTTTAAACAGTCCCCTGCTCCTAATGTTTCAGGGACTAGCAATCCTTCCCCTCAGGATCCCTAGCCCAGCTGGAGAGGAGGATGCCAGCCCTTGGTGGGGGTGCGGCTCTCTCCTGCTTTTCCTGGGTTGTGTCATTGCTCCTGTGCTCCGGAGGCCGGGAGGTGTGATGGCTGCGGTTGCTTCCTCCCGCCGGCTGATGGTGTGTCCTGCCTGTCTGTCTGCAGAGTGGGCCGGCTGCCAGCGGGTTGGAATCTCTCCCGACACCCATCGTGCCCCGTATCACATATCGTTTGGATCAAGGAGCTCCGGCTTGGGTGGACGCCAGAGGTTGGTACTGCATGCTGTTCTGGTTCCTTCATGCTCTCGCCTTGGTCTGAGTGGGTGGGGATGGGTCAAATCTCCAATCTTGAGCACTTCTGGGGGAGCTGTGGCCAGCCATAAGTTCCCTCTGGCATTCCACTTTCCCCCGTCAAAGGGCCGAAGGGAGCTGAGTTACTCAGTGTTCGCTGGTTTCAGAGTAGCAGCCGTGTTAGTCTGTATTCGCGAGAAGAAAAGGAGGACTTGTGGCCCCTTAGAGACTAACCAATTTATTTGAGCATGAGCTTTCCTGAGCTACAGCTCACTTCATCGGATGCATTCAGCTGTAGCTCACGAAAGCTCATGCTCAAATAAATTGGTTAGTCTCTAAGGGGCCACCAGTCCTCCCTTTCTTTCAGTGTTCGCTGGGAGTCTCCTTGTTGGGGTCAGCAAAGCTCCCCCCTGTCCTAATCGTGCTACTGCTGGGCTCTGGAGCACTGCCCCCTTGTGGCAGAGTACTGCACTGCTGCTTTAAACCATGTGGTCTGAGGCCAGGTGCTTCTGCATAGATAAAAATCCCCCCTTCTGTGGGCTGTTGGAAGAACTCTTCCCCGCCCGTCCCGGGTCCTTGCAGATGCGTTTTAAACCAACGCCGGCCAGCGATCCGTCATCTGTCGCTCTGTCAACCCATCCTGCGTTTCCAGCTGCCTCCCCCGTTGGGTGGAAGGGTCACGGGAGCACACTGATCCCAGACACCCCTGCCAAGTGCCATCCAATGCTGCTGAAATTAACAGAGGGCAGGTCACTGAGCCCCTGGCAGGATCTGGCCCCTTAGCCTCACAGCTCCCTTGCTGTGTGGGCGCTTTCCCTGGCGAGGAGACTAGGAGTGGAGTGACTTGAGAGCCCATGGCAGTGCTGGGAATAGAACCCAGGAGCCCCTGCAAACCCACGTAGACCCTCACTGCCTCCCTGAGGTGGGGACAGAACCCAGGAGTCCTGAGTACCGACCCCTCTGCTCTAACCCCCTAGCCCATGCAAACCTAGGAGTCCTGACTCCCTGCTGTAACCACTAGAGCCCACTGAACTGCCTCTTGACACCCAACTACATGTGTAAGTGTCGTGTCTATAAACACTTGTTTTCCCCCAGAACTGCCTCTGAAGGCAGCCCCGCCTCAGCTGCAGACCTGCAGGACTTCTTCAACCGCGTATTTCAGGGGACCCCGGGGCAGATGCCCAACGCCCAGGCAGCAGCTCCTTCTGCTTCAGCCCCGAAGACAGAGAGTGCAGCCTCAAAAGGGGACTCAAAGCAGAAAAGGCGGAAGAAAGTTCGCCGTCCCTTCCAGCGCTGAGGAGCGGCGTGGCCAGTGCAGGAGAGTAACCGGGTGGGGGCTGCTTTGCTCTTGGCCTGGCAGGAGGCCACAAGCACTGACAGGAAACGAAGCTCCTGTGTACGTCCCAGCAGGCAGCTGGGCGCGTCCCGGGCTCTAGGTCGGGCACTAAAAGGGCTCTTTACAAGAAGAAGAATCTATTTTTTTCTTTAGATATTTAAAAGCCAACCAGGCGTTTGGGGAATTTCCGGCTGATGCCATTAACTTCTAGTGTAAAGAACCAGACCCAGTGATACCAAAGAACTCCAGCAGGGGGTGCCCTGCAGGATCCCTGGAGACACCAGCCCAGTGTGTGTGGAAGGAGGGTGTCCCTGCAGTTGGGGGGGTGGGGAAGCTGGACAGAGCCATGGAATCTCTTCAGGGTTACTTTAAAAATCAGGGGATGTTTCATTTCCATAAAGGCCACATCTGGGATCCATTGGGAGGCAGCCATGTCCCTTCCCTCCGCTTGCCCCCCATTTCTCATGCGCGGCTCCCCTTCACTCCCCCGCCCATTGATGTCTGCGTCTTGCAGCCCTCCGAGAGCTGCAGGGAGCCGTAATGCGTCACACACAGCACTGAGCAGGATCCCTTAGAACTGAATCGCAATTTGGCCTCTAAAGCTTCTGCAGCAGATCGTATTCTTGACCCCTCCCATCTGCACAGCTCATCACCCCAGAAGAACCACGCCAAGCGTTGAACCCCGGTGCTGGAGGGCGGCTTGCTCAGCTGACTGGAGAATGCTCCTAGAGAGCAGCCCAGCCTTGGCCCCGGCAGACAAGACTGAGCCCTTTGTCTAACTCTTGCAGGGTCTTATCCATGCCTACTCCTGGAGCCAGTGCATCTGTCTGCGCTCTCTGCCGAGCCCTGCTGCCCCAGAGGTGAAATGAGGCGTGGGTGGGTGCTCCCTGTGCTGTGCCTGGCTCTGTTCCCACTGTCCTGGTAGCACATGCTGGCCCCTAGCTTCATGCTGACCCCCCCGTCGGATTTTTGTTGCTGATTCCCCCTCAGCCCTGCTTCCTGGCCATGGACTCCTTTTCTGCCAGTTGGGCTCAGCCATAGTCCTGAGACTTGGGAGAGCGGTTCCCCAGTGGGTTGCTCTGGGAGCTCAGTTGTGAGATGCTGTCTGCACAAGTCTCCTGATCTGTGCAGCCAGTATTGACTTTACTGTTCACAGGGATGCTGGCTGGGGCCAGCCGCTCACATACGGGGACTAGGCTTTCCAAAGAAGCTAGGTCAAGTTTGTAAGCCCAGCCCCAACCCATCAAAACCCTGGTCTGCTTCTGCTGGGCAAGCTCCTGGCAGTCAGTCAGACGGGTCTGTAACTGTCCAGCCTCTTACTGAAGGGTTGGTCTTGGGTTCTAACAGCTGGTTCCTATTTGTCTGTACATATCTCTGTTTAATCCCATGTGCATACCCCTTGTGATAAATCTAGCTCAATCCCTGAGAGCAGCTGGGGGAGTGCTTCCCCTGCTTCCCTGGGCAGCGCCAGTCCGTTCCATGTATTACACCTCGGCTTTCTGTAGGCACTTTCTGTAACCTCCTTAGGTTTGCTCTTCCGGTCGCTAACGTGCACCCAGCTCACAGAGCTGATGCTGAACTACTCTAACCCCAGTTGGAGTAAAGCTGATTTTTAAGTTGTTCCAGGAAGTAAGACTCGTTTTCCTTGTCAGGGTGTTTATGGCATTCCACTGCTGAATTTCCAAAATGAATTGGATTTAGGGTAGGGCCTACACAAACAATTGTGTGGGTGTGAGCAGAAAGCTCTGCTTTAGGATTAAACTGGTGAGTGTATATTCTACAATTACCCATCCCCTGCAAAATAAACCCCCATAGGATTACATAAGAGTATTCTCTACACACCTAACTTGTGTATAGACACCACTATGCAGCTGTGAAAAAGGGGGACATAACAAGCAGGAGGCCTGGCCCCTGCTAAAGCTGGATTTCGGGCTAGTGGAAGAAAACTAGGACAGTAACTCAGGCACTCGTCCTTATTTATCAAAACTGTCTCAAAGTGACATGAGCCAGCAGGGGCCAAGCTGGGGTCGGACACACTAAACTGTAGTTTGTGGTGCCAGTCGGTTAACTAACGCCTGAGCAGGCCGCACTGGACGGAGGGTGAGGGCAGGTATTTCCTCATCACCTTCCTTAGAATGACAAGACTAAGCTCTTAAAACAAGCCCTCCCAGCTCAGCCTTCCTCTAGGAGCTTTGTTATTTGAGCCCCTTTTCGTTATTTGAAGGGTGTGATGGGAACCACCTGGCTGGCTTCTCTGTCAACTGTTTCTCCCCCCAGGTGTCACTCACCTGCAAACCCTGATTCCTCTTCCCAGGGTGAACTCTGGGCAGCAGGACTGAACGACGCGGGGACCAGGGCTGCAGAGCTCTTTCCCTCTGGCGAACTGGTTCTAAGGGCCACTGAGCTGGGAGCGAGTCTCAGCATCACATGGCTATTTGGGGGGTGTTACGTGAAGTGAATCAAGGGTCTTTAGCTGGTTACTTGCAGACGTGCATCCATGTCCCTAAAAATCCCAGCTATGGTGGGTGCAAATGTGGTGCCCTCAGAGAGGGCAGCCTGATTGTATGCAGGACCGCAGGGCCTGACCGGACCCCTGAAGAGGTGCAAGCTGTGCTCCCTCTGAGGTGGGGGGGCAGCTTGGACTGTTTCTACCAGGGCTGTACCTGGGCTGTGGAGAGGTGGCCATCCCCTCTCCTGTGTGCCCCATCCCCTCTCCTGGGCTCGGTTACCTTGAGCTGAGCAGGCAGACGTTAGCTCTAGGTTTGGAGGTGGTGGGAGGAGGAAGCTGTATTTAACACAGGGCCAATCACGGTCACTGGTGCACAAGGGATGAATGGACAATGTAAAGCCGTGTAGTCCTGCTGCGCATACAACTGATCATTTGGAAGGGCCAGGAAGGGAGCTAATCATGAGAACGGCCAGACTGGGTCAGATCAATGGTCCCGCTAGCTCAGTGTCCTGCCTTCAGATAGGGGCAGGTGTCAAGTGCTTCCGAGAGAGTGAACAGAACAGGGCAAACATTGAGAGATCCAGCCTGTCTTCCAGGTCCAGCATCTGGCTGTCAGAGGTTTAAGGTCACTGAGCACGTGGGGCTGTGTCTCTGCCCATCTTGGCTAACAGCCATTGTTGGACCTCTCCCCCATGAACGTAACTCATTCTTTTTTTGAACCCAGTTAGGTTTGGCCTTCACCACATCCCCTGGCAAGGAGTTCCACAAGTTGACTGTGTTGTGGGATCCATGGTTGGTTTTAAACCTGCTGCCTGTTAATGGCATTGGGTGATGCCTGGTTGGTTTGTTATGGGAAGGGGTAAATAGCACATCCCTAGTCGCTTGCTTCCCGGCAGTCATGACTATACAGACCTCTGTCACCCCCCATCTCTTTTCCAAGCTGAGCCATCCCGTTTTTAATCTCCTGACCTGGAAGCTCTCCCCACGGGAGACCCACCCTGGCTCACACTCATGGAGAACCAGGCTGCTGGGGATTTGCTCTCTCTAGTTCTCAGCTGCAACGGACACCTTGGCTGGTAGTGCCTTGGTGACCCCAAAATGTACATTAAGGGGCCTTGGAAATATACCCCTCCTCCAGTCATGTTCTAGCTGCAATCACATGGGGCAGGAAATGAAGCAACTCCAGCACTGTAATGTCCCTTGGTCTGTATGCTCGGGGCTTCTTGTTGGCTCCTCTCGGGCAGCTGCCTCAGCCACCTTGCTGCTCCTTACCCCTTCACGTTTACGGGGGAGTCTGTCTACTGCTAGACTGTCAGCCTCCCTAGCTTGTCTCTCCATCATGAGCGAGTAGAGTAAAGCTTGCCGGTGGCAGACGCCAGAGCCTCTCTTTCGCTGGGGACTCCCTCCCTGTACACTGAAAGCCACAGGCTCACCCCTGCAGCTGCTGCTTTGTGCTGAGCGGGCACAGAGCACTGGAGAGCAGCCACGCCCTGGGACACTTACCTGGTCTCACCTGCCAGCTTGCTCTGTTCTTTGCTCCCTGAGCTTGCGTGGCTTCTGCGGCTCTGCTGCCAGGGCTGCCTAACTCAGTTCACGCCGGGGGAGCCAGAAACCGAGTTGTAGGCACGTTCCCTCTCCCCCCTGCCTCCGAGCAACTGAGCTCCTGTCGATGTAGCTCTGCAGCCTCTCGGCGCTAGTGGAGGTTTGGGGAAGCGGACTGGCTGGAAGCGCATCTGCTTGGGCTGCTGCGGGGCAGAGCTGCCTTAAGATGCTTACATACGTTTTGCAAAAAAATAAGTCTTGGACAATCACTCACTCTTCCTGACCTGTATTGCCATGCGAGTGTTTGATGTCGGGTGTATTCACTGTTCACCTCCTTTGTCCTGAGGGCTGAGCACGGAGGTTTTTAAGATGATTGTGTATCTCTTTCTTATCACTTTTGTTAAATTAAAATACGATTTGAAGAAGCCTGTCTCCTCTGGGAGGTGGGGAAGGAACAAGCAGTGGATTGTGGGATCCACTCCACATCCTCTCCCACCAGTGAATATCTTCTGTTCTTTACTGTCACCCCTGACTGATTCCCCTAAGCCTAGGGCCCTCTTGCAAGAACACCACTGTTGTCTGTCAAACGTCTTTATTACAGTAGAAGTTAATAAAACACAAGGATGGGGAGGATGCACAAACTGGCTATTTTCCCCCCTGCTGGGCAGCAGTTCTCCTCTCTCGCAGTTACATGAGCAGCTGACAGGGTAGCTCATGAGACACTAAGACCCCCTCCCTCCTCAGTTGCCTCTCTCTCTCCACCCAAACAAAAGATAAAGCCCAAATACCGATGATTACTAGGGAGAGTAACTTAATCCCTGCAAGGGGCTCAAGCAGTGGCTGGTCCCTCGCTTGCGCCGCCGCCCTAGTTCACAGTCAGGACAGCACCTTCACGCTGGGCTCATTACTTCTTTGCCAGAGCAGGAGCCTGTTGGGATGGACTCCCTCTTCCCTCGCAGCTGGCTTGGCAGCGCTGGGCTCGCTGAGTCTTAGTATTTGTTGATGCCAAAGACGCGCACGCCATGGAACTGAGGCAGCTTGGGGAGGAGGACGCTGAGGAGGGACGTTGTGTTGATTATAAAATGTGCAGGGTCGTATTTGGTATAAAAGCTGGTGAGGAGGTAACTGGAAGAGAGACAAAGGCAGGGTTAGTTCTGTGGCCATCCAGCCCCCAGCTGGGGTGAGGGCACATGAAAGCTATTTCTGAGGCTTGATTGACAGCAGAAGCGGTGATGCAAACTTCCCAGCCAAGGCACCTCACGCCTGATGCAGAACCATTTCCCCAGCACGGGCAGAGTTCAGTCACCAAAGCCCATGCTGCCCTTGGTGCCTCTGTGCTGCCAGCCATGGGGCCAGCTGCTAGCAGTCAGGATACTCAGTGCACAAGCCTTCAAGGACTAGCCTGATGCCCACTGGTTCGTTTCAGGCCCGAGAGCTTGTGCCCTCCAGTGCAGTAGGCAGAGGGCAGTCACCTAGCTAAGGCATGCAGGGCTCTGGCCAGTTCCATTGAAAAGCAATGTACTCTATAGCCACGGTGGCTTTCCCTGCGTACGGGAAGCCCAGCATAGGCTAGTGTCTCAGTATGGCTTCACGCAGACTACAGCAATCCCATCTTCTCCCTGAGCCATTCACGCCTGCCCCCCTACAGCTGGAGCCTTACACAGTGTGCTTCTGGTCTCCGTGGGCTACGCAGGGGTATTGGAGAGGAAGGGAACTGCAGTGAGCCTCACTGAATGCCTGGGAGCTGCAGCTCTGGGCAGGTTTGGAGCACTCCTACCATAGGCCTCCTCCAGAGCAAGCAGGTCCTGGCAGGTCAACAGCTGACCTGCTGCAGCAGGAATGGACACTCACAGAACTACTGGCGAGATGCTGAGGAACTTGCGGGAGGAGGTGCACTGCGTCCCATAGTCTATCTGTTCCCAGTGCGTGAGCAGGCGATCCTTGCCCTGGTCTGGCGTCTCAAACGGGGTTCCTTTCACAGTGTGAAGAAACCAGTACATAACCTGCAATTTCCATGGTGAGAAGGGAGGATGTAAGGAGAGGGCCTCGGTCCTTTTACTGTTGTATCATCAACACAAGAGGGGGGCAGGGATTGGAGAGGAAACAAAGCTAGAGGGCCGCTGAGCTGTGGAACTCATTGTTACAGGAGGCCAGAGTCAAACACCACGTCTGGTTTTAGAAAAGGGCTGGCTGGGCAGGTAAGTTCTCCCTAGGTAAAGTGACTTGCCTAAGAGAGTGGCAGCTGGAACCAGAACTCAGGAGTTCTTGCTCCTAAAATAGGAAAAGGATAACGAAATGTCGTGCATCAGGCCATAGCTGATCATCAGTGGGAGTCAGGAAAGTACTTCCTATATCACCTTAAGTTTTCCCAAATACAGTACCCTCTAGCTACATCTCTCTGAGTGCTGACCCAGCAGGGAGGGACTGGGCCTCATCCCAGCTCCTCCAGGCCCAGTGGGCAAGGGCCCAAAGAGCCGAGTCTAACACTGCTTTTTCTAGCAGGGCAGGAAAATGAGTCGGGAGGCTGAGATTTGACTCACCAGGTTGTGTATAACATTAGTGAGGGTCCAGACCACTGGAATGCTGAAGAACGGGATGCTGAGGAGAATGATATGGAGAACTCCCACCGAGATCACGTAGGCCAGCCAGATGCCACGGCTGTTCATCACTCGGGTGTTGGGATTTACCTCACTGTGGGCCACCCCAACATTCATCCTGAAAGAGAGATGGGTGTAGGAGAAGAGTCAAACGTTACTCATCTGAGAGGACAAGGTTTTCTGATTCCGCCATGCGCAGATGCTTTAAAAACATTAATGCATGAATCATCACAGCCCCTGGACTGGTTGGTAAGTCTCTGTATCCCCATCTTATGGGCAGAACATCAAGTCACAGAGAGGGGAAATGACCGGCCCACGTCCACAAACTGAGGTAGCGGCAACGAGAAGTGGGACCCAGGCATAGCTGCCTCCTTTAGCCACTAGACCCCATTCCCTGCCCAGGGCTGGGGAATAGAACCCAGGCATCCTGACTCCCAGCCTCCTCCCCTCCCCTCCCCTCCATTTACCCCCCCACTCTCATCTACTGTACGGCACTTGTTAGTGACTCTGGAAACCCCACAAGCAAAGCTGAAAGTGCAGGGACCCTATGAGTTGTTTTTGCTCTGTAATTCAGATCTTAGTTTCTCCCCATCTTTATGGCCATACTGCCCTGCCCCAGCAGTACCTACTGTTCATCCTGCATCCCATATGTCTTCCTCCCCCTGTTCCTCCTTTCAGCCCTTATATGGCCCCGTCACCCCTTCCAGTAGAATAATGCCACCACCTTGCTCCTTAAATCGCACTTTTCATCAGTGGATCTCAAAGCTCTTTACAAAGGAGGGCAGTATCATGCTCCCCATTCTACTGATGGGGAAACTGAGGCACGGAGCGAGGAAATGACTCGCTCAAGGTCACCGAGCAGGCCAATGGCAGAGCTGGGAACAGAACCCAGGTCTCCTGAGCAGAGCTCTAGCCACTAGTACCTCTATAGGGGTTTGAGCACTGCCTCCCTGCCAGAAATGGGGCTCAGGACGGCTTCTTGCAGGAACCACTAGACCCTGCTCTCACCCTTGCTGCCCCCTACAGGCGCCCCTGCCCCCTACCATTGCCCCGCCCCCATCAGTGCCCCTCACTGTCCGCCCCGCCCCCACAGATCACCCCGCCCCCATCAGTGCCCCCCACTGTCCGCCCCTACCATTGCCCCGCCCCCATCAGTGCCCCCACCATCCGCCCCTCCCCTTACCATTGCCACGCTCCCCACCAGTGCCCCCGCCCCTACCATTGCCACCCCCCCCCACCATCCGCCCCTACCATTGCCCCGCCCCCGTGAGTGCCCCCCGGCCGCCCCGCCCCCACAGATCGCCCCGCCCCCATCAGTGCCCCCCACTGTCCGCCCCGCCCCCCACAGATCACCCCGCCCCCATCAGTGCCCCCCCACTGTCCGCCCCGCCCCCCACAGATCACCCCGCCCCCATCAGTGCCCCCACCGTCCGCCCCGCCCCTTACCATTGCCACGCTCCCCACCGGTGCCCCCGCCCCTACCATTGCCCCACCCCCCCACCATCCGCCCCTACCATTGCCCCACCCCCCCACCATCCGCCCCTACCATTGCCCCGCCCCCGTGAGTGCCCCCGGCCGCCCCGCCCCCACAGATCGCCCCGCCCCCACAGATCGCCCCGCCCCCTACCTAGCTTCCTGCCGCCCACCCCCAGGTGCCCCGCCCCCTACAGGCAGGCGCTTAGAGCCGCTCTTCCCCCTTCAGAGCCCTCGGGCCCCGCTAACGGCCCCCCGGCGCTCACCCACCCGGCGGCTGCCGCCGAACCTCCACACAGCTCCCCCGGCTCGTCTCCAGGAAGTGCCACTGCCTGCGCCCCTCCCCCGTTGCCGCCCGCTATTGGCTGCCCGCCTCCGACGTCTGCGCACCTATTGGTCATCGTCGTCGTCGCTGACCTCTGTCCCCGCCCTTCCCTCCGTGGCTACCAATAGGAAGCGGCGGGGCCGGGTGCCGCTGGGCCAGTAGGAAGGCGCGATATTGAGGGGAGGGTTGGGCGCCCGCTCAGGAAGAGCGCGGGTCATTGGCGGGGCGGGCGGGGCCCGGCGGGAGCGACCTGAGGAGGCGACAAGATGGCGGCCGAGACCGTGGAGCTCCACAAGCTGAAGGTAACGGAGGGGGGCGCGGCGAGGGGCCCGGTCTCCCTCACCCCAGGGCAGCCTGACCGCCCCCCCGCCTGCGGGATAGGCCGGGCGCCGCCGCCCCCGCGCGCGGAGCTCCCGCCGGCAGCACGTGCGCGTCCCTTCCCTGGGGGCTGAGCCTCCCCGCGCTCCTGGGCGGGCTCCCGTCCTCGTGGCGCCTCCCAGCGGCCCCGAGTGGGGGCACCCCAGGGGGCTGCGGCCCCTCCCCCGGGCTGCTTCTGGGGGGCTTCGCTGACCCCCCCCCCACAGCGGGTGCCCCAGCCCGGGGTCACTCCTCCGTTCCCTGCGCCGCTCGGGGCCCCGCCGGAGCCGTGGGGAGAGCGGGCGAGGCCTGGGGTTGCAGCCATGGACTGGGCCTGCCCCCCAGTGCGTGCGAACTGCGGGCTTCGGCTGGGTGTCCCGTGGGGGGAAAATCGGGGGGCGCTCCCACAACCCGGGGCCGGAGGTCGCCTTCCAAACCCGGGGGCAGGGCGCCCACCTCAAATGCTACCGCGGCCGAGAAACCCCGCCCGCCGGGGCCCGGGGGAAGATGCGGTCGCTGGCACGGGACTTCCACAGGGCGGTGTGGGCTTCGGAAGTGGAGCCTCTTTCAGCTCGTGGTGGTGAGCTCCCCCACCTGTTAGCCTGTGCTCGCTCTGGCTTTCAGGCCCTAGCGCGGGCACTGCTCTAAGAACGCCGAACTGTGGCTTACTTTCACGGCAGCAAAAGAATGAGGATTGCAGGGTAGCTAAACGTCAATCATTGCACACCAGGTACCTATATTAACCTACCCAGAATAATCAACCTTCTGGATCTTCTCCGCATGTCCTCTAGTCTTTGTCTTAGTAAGACATATCACCAGACCTGTGTGATGCTAATAAACAGGCAATGTCAAATTTCTGCAGGGGAAGAAACTTGGCCAGCAAGATGTTTGACTGTAATATAATCTTGCGAGGATTGCGATTGAAGCCTGTATTTAGGACTCTTAAAATTAGCCTGCACAGAACACTACAAAGAACTCATTAGGGGATAATCTTGCATTGGGCCCAGGCAGATGGACTGGATAATCTAACGGCTCTTTTGTTTCTGACTTCTGTGGTTTCAGTAACATGACTATGGTGTCATACAGAAGGGCCTTTCATCTTAATGTCTCTGAAACAGTTAAACAGAGAGGCAAATATTTTTATTTCTTAGATTTGGGGGGAAACTAATCAGAGGGAGATGAATGGACTTGTCCAAGGCATCAATAAATCACTGGCACAGTTGAGGGTAGATTCAAGGAGTCCAGACTCCCAGTTTCCTGCTCTAACCACTAGAACACACTCCTCTCAAAACCCAGCAGTTGTGACTCCCAGTCCCTGGGCACTAGGCATCATCTCCTCTATGCTCTTATCTTCAGAATTTTCAGTTGACTATTACGATAACACTAATGGTAGCAAGTAATGATTTGAAGTTCTTCATATCTTGGGTATTTTGGGGTGAGTGTAGGAAGGTTTATACTTAAGGAGTATGGCTAGAGAGATGTAATTTTTCTGCTGCTTTTGTTCAATGTGGAGTGTAATGTCTGCAGCTGTTTCTGTTCCAGTCCCCAGAGGAACTCAGAATCTGCAGGATGTAAAGCAGTTCTCAGGGGGAGCATAGCACAGATTCAGATCCTCATAATAATAATAATGTCTTTCTCAAGCTTTTTTTGTCCAAGTATTGTGAAGTGCCTGTCTACAAATGGGAGAAATGGAGGCACAGAGAGAATTACAGAAATTGTGATGAAGACATTCCAGTAGATTATCCGACTCCCTTCTAGTGCAGCACTGTTCCCTTCTAGTACATTTTTCTGTGGAATCCTAGATGGCAGTGGTAAAGTAAATGTCAAGGCTACACAAAGGGAACCAATGAAAAAGCTGGAAAGAACCCAGTCATTGACTCCTTGTCCCCCCCCCCCAGCTCTAACCACTAGTCTTAATGTCTTTTTTTTTGTCAGTGCCAATGCCCATGGTTTATCTGGTCTGCTTATTGTTTGCTTGTTTTGATCCTTTTGCTTTGGTGGTGTTCCTCCTGTTCTTTGCAAACTTGAATGAATTAAGTATGCTAATGGGAAGTCTCTTCTGGTACGCAGCTTGCTGAACTGAAACAAGAATGTCTCGCCCGTGGCCTGGAGGTGAAAGGAAACAAACAGGATCTCATAAACAGACTCCAGGCCTACCTTGATGAACACGGTGGGTAACTTGCTGGGCTGGAGCAAGCGTTGCAGATCGAGGGTCCCTCTAGCAAGGTCGACTCAAGGCCCAGCTGTGGCCTCTTTGTTTTTACAGGAATTTTGAACTCTCCCTAATTGGTTCCTTTTTATAGGATTCTAGCTGTTGTGAACGGTCCCCATTACATGGGCTTGCTGTGATATTCTTTCAATAAGAGCTGTCCTGTGGCTGTAGCCTCTGAGAATCTCCCTGATGAGACAGTCCTCAGAATTTTCTTGGTGATAGGCCTAATTCTTCAGGTGTTCCTCATGTGGAGCTCCCATCCAAGTCTATGTATGGAGAGTGACTGTAATATTGAGTAATTCAAGGTGTATTCTTTTCTTCTTTGCTCCCAATTCCCACCCCCCTAAAAATCCCCAAGTTTATGAAGTGTCTGTGTATACATTTTGTGTAACACAGGCTACAGAGCTTCTCCAAAATGATTCCTAGAGTATATGCTTACATATTGTGGTGATGGACCTGATGTAAGACCCTGAACAGAATCTTTACAACATTAACTTACTTATTAGTGTGGAGAACATCAGTCTTCTAGGAATTAATCTCTCACTAATCTGTGGATTTTTAAAAAAATTCTTTTAGCTGAAGAAGAAGCAAATGAAGAAGATGTTTTGGGAGAAGAAACAGAGGTAAATCCTATTACTATGAGCAGATTATCATACTGTCAATCTATTTTAGGTGTAGCTGTGTGTCAGTTTGCCTGACGTCATCTGATCTTTGAGCAGTTTCCAGTCTGGTGGCAATGTACGGATTAATTACTCTATATCATGTCAACCACTGTCGCAATTGTGGGGAACTCCACCGTGAATGAACTGTAGTGTATTTGACATTGTTACTAATGGGGTTTCTTGGGGACTGCATAATTGTGGTATATGGCTGACATTACAGAATTGGACTCTTTTAAGTATGAAATAACGGAGTTAGTTTTAGGCCTCACCACTGAAGAGCTGATCTTATCAACTAGAAAATATTGTGCTTAAGAAAAGCGCCTAGTTAGTGTTAGGAAAACTAGTCTCTTTAGGTATTTTTATCTACCCCCAAATGTCATGTTCCTTGCTACTAAGTAGATAGATATCTATGTGTGAATATATATCCTTGTGGGTTTATTTTAAGTACCTAAAGCAGAAAAATATTCAGATAAAGAAGCATAATGCTAGGTTTGGATCATACATGTTGTGTGTGCTCTCTTTGCCAGCTACCTTGCTGTGAGAACGTAGGATACTGTAAACTTGAGAATGTTCTCATCCGAAGCACATTTCCTATGTCCTCAGAAAATGTGGATTTTTTATTTTAAGTATTAGCCTTGTCAAAACAAATCTAACCCACAAATAGATATACATAAAATAAATCATTCATCCTAACACTTACGAAACCTCTCTAAGGCTTCATAAAAAGACCTAGCATGAATAATAAGGTCCTTGCCCGCAAGCCTAGAGGAAAAGTAGAGCCAAATAAATCACTTGCCAATGACATCTAGGTTAAATTCGGACCTGACATATCCAGGTGTGTGAAGTCAAAAGAGTTACATCTTTGTATGTAATCTCTAGATTTGGCCCCATGTCTTTGTTTTTAAATACATTGTGATTTAGTTGTTTGTTATTGCACTTTATGTTTTCGGTGTCAATAGAATTTTCGTTACTATTAATACTATAAATTCAGTTGGGGAAAAAAGCTCTAATCCTGAAAACACGTATGAGACTTTACTCATGTGAGTGGTCTTCAGTGTTGCAGAATCATGTCCCAAAATATTAGTGTGTGGAGAAGCCGGGGTAAATCTTAGCCCCTTACATTGTTCACTCAAAAAAATTAATTGCGATTAAAAAAAATTAATCACGTTAATCGCAGTTTTAATTGCGCTGTTAAACAATAAAATACTGATTGAAATGTATTAAATATTTTGGATGTTTGTCTACATTTTCAAATATGTTGCTTTCAATTGCAACACAGAATACAAAGTGTACAGTACTCACTTTATATTATTTTTATTACAAATATTTGCATTGTAAAAATGATAAACAAAATAGTATTTGTCAATTCACCTCACACATGTACCGTATTGCAATCTCTTTATCATGAAAGGGCAACTTACAAATGTAGATTTTTTTTGTTATATAACTGCACTTAAAATCAAAAAATGTAAAACTTTACTGCCTACAAATCTACTCAGTCCTACTTCTTGTTCAGCCAGTCGATAAGAGAAACAAGTTTGTTTAATTTATGGGAGATAATGCTGTCCACTTCTAATTTACAATGTCACCCGAAAGTGAGAACAGACGTTCGCATGCATTTTTGTAGCCGGCATTGCAAGGTACGGTATTTATGTGCCAGATATGCTAAACATTTCCATGCTGATGACGCTTGTTAAATAATGCGTTAATTAAATTTGTGACTGAACTCCTTGGGGGAGAATTGTATGTCTCCTGCTCTGTGTTTTACCTGCATTCTGCCATATATTTCATGTTATAGCAGTCTCGGATGATGACTCAGCACATGTTCATTTTTAAGAACACTTTCACTGCAGATTTGACAAAACGCAAAAAAAGGTACCAATGTGAGATTTCTAAAGAAAACTACAGCACCTGACGCAAGATTTAAGAATCTGAAGTGCCTTCCAAAATCTGATCGGGATGGGGTGTGGAGCATGCTTTCAGAAGTCTTAAAAGAGCAACACTCTGATGCGGAAACTACAGAACCTGAACCACCGAAAAAGAAAATCAACCTTCTGCTGATGGCATCTGACTCTCCTGATGAAAATGAATATGCATTGGTCTGCACTGTTTTGGATTGTTATCGAGCAGAATCCATCATCAGCATGGACGCATGTCCTCTGGAATGGTGGTTGAAGCATGAAGAGGCATATGAATTTTTACTGCATCTGGCAATGCCGGCTACAATAGTGCCATGTGAATGCCTGTTCTCACTTTCAGGTGATGCTGTAAACAAGAAGTGGGCAGCATTATCTTCTGCAAATGTAAACAAACTTGTTTGTCTGAGCGATTGGTTGAACAAGAAGTAGGAGTGAGTGGACTTGTAGGCTCTAAAGTTTTCCATTGTTTTATTATTGAATGCAGTTATTTTTTGTACATAATTCTACATTTGTAAGTTCAACTTTCTTATAAAGAGATTGCACTACAGTACTTGTATTAAGTGAATTGAAAAATACTATTTTATTTTTACAGTGCAAATATTTATAATACAAGATAAATACAAAGTGAGCACTGTATACTTTGTATTTTGTGTTGAATTAAAATCAATATATTAGAACATGTGGAAAACATCCAAAAATATTTATATAAATAGTATTCTATTGTTTAACAGCACAATTAATTGCAATTAATATTTTCAATTGCTTGACAGCCCTATAATTTTCAAAATAAATGCCCAGAATATAAAATTCAGGCATTTAAATTAACACTATCTGATCACTACAGATAGGTAAAGTGACTACATTATGGGGTAAGCACTAAGTATAGTCTTTTATGTAAAGCTTTCAGCTGTTTCCCAATGTATCTATCCTCGCAGCACCCTCCATACAGTAGGGGTGTCTGTAGTGTTATCACTGTTTTTACAGATGAGGAAGGTGAGGTAGAGGTAAAGTGACTTGCCTCGATCACCAAGGAACACTGTTTCAGCACCAAAACTAGAGACAGGCTTTGCAATAGCTACTGAAGGTCAGCAGTCTGGCCCTGGGCTCTGATGATTAGACCTCAGCCCCCTCTAATAAATACTAACAAGGCTTTTGCAACAGACGTTATCCCACAGTGAGGTGCTCATTGACCAGGTTACACAGACTTGTGGGGAAGCAGAGTTTGTGCTGCCTTCTGAGTACTCTAAGGGGAGAGGCCAGCAGTGAGAATGCAGAAAGCCCAGCAATTTTAGCCTTTTTTTTTTTTTTTTTTTTGGGATGAGGAGGAATCTTAAAGTACATTAAAATGGGTAAATAGGTTCATTCTTGGGCCTCTTAACCTTTAGAGAGACTCTTTCCTCAGGTGTTACTAGGGCAGCTGATGAAATGTAGCTGACAGCCCTCTGGTTTAAAATGAGATAGGTCTGGTGACATGGGGCTCCCAGTAATTTTTTCCTTGGTTTGCCAGAGTCTGAGATTGTTAACCTTCAGCAGATGTTGCAAAGCCTGTCTCTGTTCCCAGGGACTGGGTGGAAAGGGAAAGCCAGATCTGATGTGCAGAGATTCAGGGGGAGAAGGATGCACTGACTGGGGACATTGTCTCCATTTGAATTCTGTATGTAGCGTGGAAAAAACTTGTTTCCAAGCACCTAGAGCTCTGAGTAGATGGTTTTTAAACAATCAAAATCCATTAATATTGAGAGTAGTCCCCCTCCAATGCCTCTTCCTTCCATTCACTTGACGGGAGTATTAACCTGACCCCCTTTCTCAACTAATTGAATTACAGGAAGAAGAACAGAAACCGGCAGAGCCTCCTGCTAAAGAGGAAGAACCTCCTGAAAAATCAGCTGATGTGTATGTTTCTGGGGAATGCATGGCTGTAACTGAGGGGGCATGTCTGGGTATGGAGACAGTAGCACTGTAGGAACGCTCACTAGTTCTATGGAACCTGCTTCAAAGGAGTTGAAATCTACAAAGACAAGTATCATAGTTGTGTGTGTGGAGGGGGCATAGTGGAATAAACATCAGGTGTGCAGTACCTTGGACTCCCTGGAATCACAGGTTCACATCCCAGCAGGGTAGGCTCTGCCCCTCATTCTCCCCGGCAGATAAACTGACTTCCAAGCAGTTTAGATCTTTTGGAGGAGACTTTGAAAAGCAAGGCCCTGGCTGCCCTGTGTGTTCACCAAACATCCCTGACACCTGTGAGAGGAGAATTCTAGCCTGGTATCCTTGGCCTCACCTTGTTGTTGGACTGGCTACTGCTGTCCACCTCAGGGGCAGCTGCATTTCAGGGGAGCTGTGTATAGTTTGTGAAGGATTTGGGGATGAAAGATACTATAGAAATGTGGAAATATTCATCTGATTCCCAGTCAGTTGGCCTAGTTGTCCTCTTCCTTCTCTTGTGATAGTATCTATGCTGTATATTTCTCATTCGCTCAGGCGACGCACAGTGACGTGGAGTTGGATGGAAGAGGATCAGACTAGTAAATTAGTCTCCTCACTTTTGCATCATGCCAACAAGTCACAGCACAGGATGTCTCTTTCCAGGCTTTTTTCCTTTCATTGTGGTTCCTAAGCATTTGCTTCCATAGCTCTGAGTTGAGTTTCCCTATTAATCCACAGACAGTTGTTTGCTTGACGCAGGGAGTGTGATTTAGTAGTTACTGCAGATATAGAATGCACAGGGTTTAGTGGCAGAAGGGAAATAGGAAATTAGCCTGCAATTTTTGTTTTTGCTCGGATCTGAGAAGATGCGTCATGTCTGTATAAAGAGAGGCCCTCTTTCAGTTTAACTGAATGGTGGAGGTTAAACTCCAGTGCATTACTGCTAGCAAATTTCTGCAACACTGAACTGACCTTCATGTGGTGCTTTTCCTCTGCAAAGCCCTTTGCTGCTAACCCTCACCACTCTTTGGCAGGCAAGGAAGTATTTATCCCCCTTATTTTCATCAGATGGCAAAACTAGGGTGCAGAGAGGTGAAGTGACTTGTCCAAGACCACAAAAGGAGGTATTGTCCCTGCTGCGATTGGCATTCAAGACTTCTTTCCTCCCAGTCCTCTGCTTAGCCCCCACCTCTTGCTACGGGAGGGTGTTTCCAGCCTGTGTTTTACTGTCCTCCGTTGCCAGTTACTGTGTGTAAGTAGTCAACATGAGCTTGTTAATGTTGCGCTCTTGACATTCACTCCTGTGCTGTGGGTCAGAACAAAGCCTCACTTAAGCCATCAGGATAGCACAAAAGTGGTGCATAGGCCTAGTGCTGGCCCTCTGCATAAGGGTGAATTTCACCTTAATTGCTTACATTCATGCTCACTCCTGGGCAGTTGGGGATACCTGAGGGAAGCTGCAGCAATGAGAATGAAGGGTTCTTTAGAGCTCTGTTCTCCGTTTCTGCATCGAAATGAGACTGTAGCTCAGCACATTGGCTTGTGGGTGCATGTGAGTGATGTAGTTCAGATGAAACCATGTTCTGGGGCCCTTCATCTCAGCTGTAGACACTGGTCCAGTTGTAAGTTAAAGGTCTTGTAAGGAAAAAGGGATAATTCCTTGTGTCCCAAACAACATCCTCCATAACTATAAATCAGGTTCTGATGTCCTTGGCTGCCTGGGAGCTCTGGCTGAGTGTGTCATGGCTGACTGTTTGCCTGCATGATTGCTGCCTTACCGGTACTTAAATGGTTACTATGAAAGACATGAGAGAGAACAAACTCTGATGTACAACTGTCTGCTAAGGTGGTAGAACTGCTTCAAGCTAATTTGAGTTCAGTACTTAATTTTGAACAGCAGGGGGCATCCTTTATCTGCGTCCCAAACAAGTAGCTCCTGAGGAGGCTGGAGAGTAACAAGTCCTGGTTCCTGTTCCGAATTGCTTCCTGTGAAAGTGTAATTAAACCATTACTACCTTTCAGGGCATAAAATAGGAAAACTGTCCAGGAATCTGGAACAAAGGCAGCACATTTCTCTAAATGGGAGACCTTAATGAGGCTGGTTATGACCCACTGGTTTATGGGAGTTGTTTGGGGGAGGAGGATGCTGTTTCTTTTACCCTGGGAACTTCCGAACTTTGTCTTTTCCTCCTTTGTTTTCTACCTCAAACCTCAGCCCTATTTTCAGAGCATAAACTTTGGAGCACGCCCACTCCATTATATTTGTGTTTAGTCTCTTTGCTGGGTCTTCACTGTAGCCAACTGTGTATTGTTAAAGAAGCGTGCATTTGAAATATCGCCAGAGCTGAGGAAGCTGGCGCTGACTTGGTGAAAGTAACCTGTGGCTGTGCCGTGAACTAGAACAGAGCAATCCTTTGTAAACGAATAGCTGTAAAGGAATAAAGCTCACACGGTGCAGGCTTTGGGCTTCTGATGGGGGAGCTGAATATTACTATTGAGAGCCTCTGGGAAATAAGTGATAGGTCATTCTTGGGTGTGTGTGGAAGGCTTGTGATACATTGCATTTCCATATTACCTTTCAAGCAAGCTTCTCCGAGTGCTGTGTGCATGCTGGTTAATCCTCACCTCCCCACTGTGACTTGGGAAGTATCAACACTTCCCTCAGCACGGAAGAGACTTCTTCCCTCTTGAGGCTGCGTTGGTGACAGAGCAGGAAGAAGAACCCCAGAGTTCTTGTCCCCATGGATCTTCTGTGGCAACTAGGCCACACTTACTATCAGAGCCCCTAATGGAATCTAGAAGTCCTGACTGCCAGAGCCCTAACCCACCCCACTAGTCACACTATAGGTAGGACCCATGGGGCCTGATTGTCAAGGCTGTGGCCTCACCAAGAGAGTGCTTCCCTTTCTATCTTATCCCTAACCTTGGGTAAGGATTGTACTTCCATAGCTCATGTTCTCTTTGGCACCTAGGTGCCACGCTATGCTTACAAGGGGCTGGAGAGGCATTGGTGTCCTAGGGGTGATGGCTGAGGGTGCTTTTGTTCTGTAGACCATGAACCCAATGATGGTTGAGATCCGTTGGTTATACTTACGGAGGTGGAGGGAGGCAACCCACTATCTCTGCTACTGGGACATATTATCTTAAACTAATAGGAATTCGCTGGTTGGAAATTAGATTGGTGAGTGTAGTTTCCTGGCTCTGATCCATCTCTCTTCCCTCCCTTCCCACCCCCCCCCCCCAAACTTCTAGGACTGCAGAAAAGAAAGTGGTGAAAATAACATCAGAAATACCACAGATGGAGGTAAGAATCCTGTCACCACCCCATCCCTTCCCTCCTTTTAGGGGTATCTGTTTTAACCTGTGTGTGTGTGTTTTTCACATTTGGGGATCCCTCCCTTAAGTTCCTTATCAGTATTTCTGTTGTAAACCCTGTGAGGTTTTTCAGAGCTTTATATTGTGATTCTGAATTGCTTTAGGCTGTAGACTGTCTTTAAGAGATGTCGAGCTCTTGGTGCATTTGATTGGGACACCAGATTTTAAGGTCTGTTCCTGTCCATCGTCTGTCAGTGTATGTCACTTTCCTTTCTTCCTGTCTCATTTCTGCCACTTTATTCCTTCTTGCCAACAATCGTCACAGGCCACGCATCAGTGCCACCTGCCTGGCAACAGCAAGCAGGACATGGAGCTAAATTCATCCCTAGCTTGTAACTGTATTGCAGTCAGTGGATGAACTTAGTCCATGGCATTCTCTGATGTGAGTTGGCTGAAGGGGTTGCTAGAGAGGAACTCGAAGACAGACCTACCTCCATTATCACATGGGCTATGTAAGATGCATCTTGGTTTCTGATGTCTCTAAAGCCCTATCACTGGGCTGCTGTTGCCAGCTATGGTAGGCTGATATCCTGGATTCCTTGAGACATGTCAAACTGGAGAGGATAGAGACCGGCAGAGAATACGCTGTAGGGAATAATCCTGTTTGCGATTAACTGATGAGTTAACAGATTCTCATCTTTACCTTTCGTGAGTCTCTCTTCTTTTATGCTTACTGGTCTAATTTAAAATACACACACCAGAAGCAGCTGATGCAGTCCCCCTGTGGAAACTTTCTGCAAAATTTTTCATTCTCCAAAACACATTCTGCTTCCTCTAATGCTTTTTTCTGTCTTGATTTTTTTTTTCTCTTGTTCTCTGTAACTCGGGAGTTAGTATGAAAACACGATTTGTGTCTCCTTGCTGGTCAGCCACCACCTTGAAGTTCTAATCTTCTGTTTGTGACGTGAACAGCTCCACAGCAACCAGGGGGTGATGTCGCAAATGGAGGATTATGACTTCAGCTGGGGGAGTAATGAGGAGAAATACATAAAAATTGATCTGATGTGGAGCCAGAACAAATCACGAAGGAGTGTCGTCTTCCACGCTTTGTGGGATGCCTTTGTCATTAGCTGTTTAAACAGCTCATTAAATGCATTTGCTGACATCATATCTACAGCCTTGTTTTCAGTTCCAAACTCTGCCAAGACCTATTCACAAAGAAAGTATGTTTTTGTCATGTAAATTACCTTTTTAATCAAGGTCTGTAGACACCTACTGGAGTAGATTTGTGTAGATGGCATCCCACTGATGTTTCCAGGACTCCTGGGTTCTAGTCCCAGCTCAGCCACTGACTTGCCATGTGACCTAGGGCAAGTCATTTCACCTTTCTGGGCCTCATTGGTCCAAGTGGAATGAAATGCAAGTGTAAAGTAAGAGCATAAGTAAATCACATTTTTTAAAATTCTGTTTTAATACCATAAGGAGCTTAGTGTAACAAAGGGTTAGTAAGTCTTTAAGAACATAAGAATTACCTGGATCAGACCAGTATTCCATCTAGTCCAATATCCTACCCCCAACAGTGTCCAATACTAGCCCTTTCAGTGGTAGGTGCAAAAATCTGCACATAAACTGCCCCCTCCTAGCCTGTAATACTCAGGCTGGCATGTACCCAGAAGCAGGAGTGTGCCTTCCAAAGCTCTTGTCTGTGGTTATATTGTTTGCTATAACAACTCTGGATATTCTTGTTGTTCATATAAATGTCCAATCCCTTTTTGAATCTCGCTAAGCTTTTGGCCTGAATTCTACCTTGGGGGCCATGAGTTCAGCAGGCTAATGCATGAACAAATATTTCTTATAGATTTTAAACATATTCCCTTTGTTTCATTAAACATACTCTTGTGCTATGGGAGAGGGTGAGTTGCAGAGCTCGGTCTAACTTCTCTAGACCATGATTTTGTATACCTCTTACTGCATCCCCCATATTGCTCTCCTCTTGAAGGTAAACAGTTTCAGTCTGTTTTCACACAGAAGTTTGTTCCATGCTTGACAATAGTCAAGGGAATGGTTACTACAGCTACTTTTAGTCAGGGGCACTAAAAAATTCCCAGTTGCTCTTAGCTGTAAAGCACCAAATTAACTTGTATGGTCTTGTATAAATAATAATAAGGCACTAAATAGCTAATCAAATTTCTTTCCTCTAAGTATAAAAATACTTAAAGGGTTGTAAATAAGTACATATGTGTGTGAACACACAAGCACCCCTGTGCTTTCAACACTTTAGTCCTTCGCTCCTTTCCAAGCAAGGCAGACTGCATCTTGGTCTGTGGGAGCTTTGTCTGTGGGGAAAGGATGGCAGGCTGGGTCCTTCCCGTGATTGTGAATTTCAGCATTAATCGTATTTTCACTGCTAAGTGATAAACTCCACTTGAAAGGCTGAGCCAGCTGTGTGAATTGTGCCTGTCACCCTCAGAAAGACTTGTTCTAAGATTTAAGGGACAAATTCCATTTTTTGAAATAACCCTTCTTTTCGAACATATTTCTTCTTAGTGTTTCACTTTTAAAAAAAAATTCTTGTTTGCATTTTTTTGGAAATCAGCTGAGGCCCGTTAAGCTTGCTGCTTTCTTCCTGCCGCTGGAGGGCAAGTCACAGTTGCTCAGTGCCAGGGCTTCTGCTTCTTTGCCTTTTGGCACAAGGTTCTCCCTGGATGAGATGTGCAAGGTTCTGTCTCACCGGCTTGGCATGCCAGTCTTCGCCCAGCAGCAGATTTGTATTTTGCTAATTTAAAAAAGAAAAAAGTCCATCCTCTTGCCTCTGGGTCAGTGTGCTAATCTGTGCCTCCTTTGGCAATTCCCTTTCCATACAGATGTTTAATAAGTCGTGACCTGCTCTGGTCAGGTGAGGTGCTGAATACCCTCTGCTCAGATTTAAAGTTGGGGAGCTGCAGGTGCCCCGGACTTCACCGGAGAAAAGCTTTCTCTAGGATTAGATAGATTTTTATTACTATGTTTGTTCATCACTGCCATAGAAATAAAGGAGAGTGACATTGCTAGGCCTGTATCCCAAAGTTTAAGGGATGGCCATGATACAGACCATGCAAATAGCAACTCTCTCCCACTGTTTGTGGGATGAGGGCAAAGCTGATCAGCTGCAGGTCTCTGCTCTAATGATCTGTTAAGGCAGATCTCAGATGATTTTGTGACAATTTTACACACCTTTTGTTTGGTTTTCCCTTCTGTAGTGCCTTCTCTCCAAGGATCTGTAGTCCTCACAATGAGGATGGGGAATAGCTGTTTTAAGCGGGGAGGGGGAACTGAGGCATAAAGAGGTGAAGAAACTTGCTCAGTCCTGGTGAGTTTCTGGCAGAACTGGGGATGGAGCCCAGGAACTCTGATCCCTGTGTTTAAATACTAGGCCGCAAATTAAGAGTGGGCTCAGAAAGCTGGTAATGCTTTCTTGGGAATTGAATGCGGGCATCCCCAGTCTAAGATGTGCCCCGAACTGGCTGCCGGTATGGCTGGATTAAGTTTTGCTCTTTTTCTTCTCCCTGTTTCAGAGAATGCAGAAACGGGCTGAGAGATTCAATGTCCCTGTGAGCTTGGAGAGTAAGAAGGCGGCACGAGCAGCTCGGTAAGTCTCTGCTTGGAGCGCTGTCACAATTTTTTTATTTGGTGGAAGAATGCTAGACTCTTGTCTCATTGACAGGTCATACTGACATGGATCCTCGCCACAGCTCTGTGTGTGGGGATCTGGGGCAGCATTGGGGATTGAAAGTCTCTGGATTTTTGAGGCATATAAGGAGGAGGTGAAAGCTGCTTCTTAACTGGATTGCCTTTCGGGAAGCTGCTTACCTGAGTTTCTGGAAGGCTTTGCCCACTTTGTAGTCCTTGTTGCTTGCCTAAGCCTCTCTCGTCCTAGTATATCAAAGCACTTGTCAAATATTAACGATTGAAGCCTCACAACCCCTATACTGCTGCCTTCCCCGACAGGAGAGGGAAGTGGTTTTTATCCCCATTTACAGATGGGGAGGCTGAGTCTTGGGAAGGGGCTTGGCCAGGATTATTATTGACAGAGCTCAGAATGCAAGATGGGAGTCTTAGAGCAGAAGCCTGCGAGTTAACTGCTAGGTAATATTGCCTGGCTGCCCTCCTGAGTGTCACAGGTGGCTAAGGCAGGGGAAGATTGTGCTCAAAATATGAGGCAAGTGTTTGGTATTCAGCACCTGGACTATACTTTTAAACCTGATTTGCTATCACTAGCACAGCATGTTTTGTGTATGTAATCCGTGTCACTTACCTTGATCCTAAAATACCAGGAAATTTATGCTGCCTACTCCCTGTGATGTAGAATAACAAAAGGAAAGGTGGTTACTGAGGGGCTTTGAGGCTGCTTGTATGGAACAATGGTGCTGATGCTAGCTCTGCAGAGTTTTCCATTTTGCAAAGTAAATACAGCAGTAATCACTACAGTCGTAGCATTAACTGGAAGCTAATCCCACCCAAAGATCAATTTGTCTCAAGTGCCCTCATGAAGAATTTTTGAAGGAAACGCTCCCCCTACATCTTATGCTTGGCGACTCAGACGCTTTCCTACCCTATAGTGCAGCTCTGAGTCTCTGACAAAACTCTATTTACTTTCTACAGGTTTGGTATGTCCACAGCTTCCACTAAAGGTAAGCAAATCAAGTAGAGCTAATCTGTAGAATTAACCCTTCAGCAGATATTTAACGCTTCGTATACAGAAAAAGCCAAATGGGACTTCGTGTTCTTCCAACTGCTTGTCCCTTTCCCTAGTGATCACCAGAATCAGTGAGCTGGAAGAAACCAGGATAGGAAATGGAAATGCATCGTCCTTGTCCTTTTTCAGAGTGGCTCTGAGCTACCTAGTCCAGTGTGTCTTTCTTGTGTCTGAACGTGGCTAGATGCTAACAGCCAGATTTTTGTACAGCGCCCAGCTGCCATGAGCAATCATTGGGAGCTGGGCTACCTTTAAAAATACCACTCCTAATTGTCAAAGCCCTCTGCTACCTCACAAGAGGGCTATCTGTATTTTTACATATGGGGAGACGGAATCAGGGATGAAGTGACTATCTCCAAGGTCACACAGCGAGACAGTGTCAGCCAGGATTAAAATGGACTTCAATTCCTGGCACTCACTTGTGTTCAGCTCACTAGAACATGAGGGATACCCAGCTAGTTCTGTTCAATCACGATCCAGTGGAGATTGCTTAAATTACATCTTTGCCAAGGGGGTCAGAGAACTCTGTTTAAAACTGTTCTTGCCATTTCTGATCACTAACTGTGTCTTCCCCTTCCCCAGTCTCAGGTCTGTCTGCAGACAGCAAGCCTACGGTAAGGAATGCTTATTGCTTATAATTATAGCTGATCATGCCCTTTAATCACAATACCAAAAGTGCTTGTTCAGACAAGTCTCCATCCCCAGGAGTAAATAGTAAACCCCCAAAACAAACCAGGTAGGATATGCATGAGGTTGCTTAAGGTTATACAGGCATTAAGTTTGCTAGGACCCCCTCCTCTGTGCAATATTTGGCTGCCTCTCTCAGCTGACCACACTCCTGGATAAGCTGGCTTTAGAACTAAATGCCTGAAGGAATAAAGGCAAATATTTTATTAATATTGCATGTGAGCTTCCCGCTTGTGTGCCTGGTGTTCTGTCTTTGCCCTTTTTGCTTGAACTGTTATATGCATTGCTCCAAGAACCTAGATTCTGTACAGCCTCCTGTTTTCCTACAGTAAATGACCCTTTCTTTCTAATGTCCAAATGGTGCACTATTCTACCTCAGATTTCAACTGGAAATGTAAGTTCTGAGCTGCGTGGGTAGCCTGTGTCACGGAGTCACCGGGCGATGCTCTGGAACTACTCCATACGAAGCCAATCGGGACTCTGGGGAAGCCTCCTGTCTCTGTGCAGACTGTTTCCAGGGCAAGACGCTTACACAGCTTCGACCTTCCTGGGGCTGACCTCGGAGCATTCAGCATCCCCTTCTCACACCGTGGGCTTCCCGCAGCAAGTCCGCACAGGCAGGGCTCCTGGGGAAGCCAGTGGGCCCGCACCCCAATTCCGCGGTCAGACATGACTCTCAGCCAGCCAGTAAAACAGAAGGTTTATTAGATGACAGGAACATGGTCTAAAACTGAACTTGTAGGTACAGAGAACAGGACCCCTTAGTCAGGTCCGTCTTGGGGGGCAGGGAGGCCAGAGCCTCATCTGGGTCTCCCTCCATTTCCCCAGCCAGCTCCAAAGTGTAACTCTCCAGCCCCTCCTCTGGCCTTTGTCCCTTTCCTGGGCCAGGAGGCCACCTGATCTTTGTTCTCCAACACCTTCAGTTGGCACCTTTGCAGAGGAGGGGCCCAGGGCATCAGTTGCCAGGAGACAGGGTGTTGGCCATTCTCTATGCAGACACCATCACACTGGCCCTCTAGGGCTCTGTAACAATCACATACCCTTATCCCACCACCTAGATACTTAAGAAATGTGTAGGGGAAACTGAGGCACCCACACAGTAGTCAGAAAAAACATTAAGAATATTCCCACTTCTTCACAGTCTGCTTAGTACCTTGCTGCTTGATCATGGTAAATTATTGGTGCAAGATGCAACAGAAAGCTAATTTAAGCAAGTTTGGGGTCTAATCCAGGTTTCTCTTGTACTGAGTGTTTTTGGAAGATGTTTTTCAAATACTGCTCAGAAGTAGGTTAGCGTCAGGGACCCCATTTTCTTCCATGGCACCACATACTGTAGAAGACTTGTCAATGAAATCCAAAACTGGGATTCATTAGACTGTGGGATACTTCCCCAAAGGGAAACCCTATTGCTTGTGACCTGGGCAAAGCAAGGGAAAATAACTTGACATGGGGCTTGACTAGATGTGTCCTATAGTTCCTGAAGAGTAAGAATGAAACACAGTAGTTACTGAAAACGACAGGAGTTGGAGAGAGATGGCTGGTGTGTTTGTCTGAGAGGCAGGAAGTTTCCTTCCATCATGTTAATTGTATCTGGCTGCTGAAGGAAGAGTACTAAGTTCATTTGATTTACAGTTTAAAAAAAAAAAAAAAGAGGAATCCATTGAATGAGCTGGTCCTTCAGTGGGAGAATTCACCATCTGTAGCATTGTCCTTTGGGCCAATACTGGAGCTTTAAGAGATGCCTGTTAATGAAGCTTGAGCAGAATACAGCTCTCTGGAAGTTCTTGGCTGCTTCATTTGGGGCACAGATTTCTGCCTTGTGGCTCTTCTTCCCTTCTGTCGCGGCTGAGTCTGCCGACCTAGCACAGAGAGGGAGTGCTCACAGGAGTGTCTCTTGCTTGACCACATTTTCCACAGACCCATCAGAATGGGCTGCTCTGTCCTGGGACCCTTCTCACGAGCTGCCCTCTCCCAGCCACAGTTGGTCTTTTAGTTTTCCTGTCTTACAGTTCAAGTGACAATGACTTAAACGTTAAACTGTTTCCTGTGTCTTTGTAGGTAAACATGGATAAATTAAAGGAAAGGGCTCAAAGATTTGGTTTGAATGTCTCTTCAGCCTCCAAGAAGGTAAGGTGCATTGGCCTCTAGGACACTGTCTGCACCTACAGATTAGCACAGTGCTCAGAATAGTGAAAGTTCTAAGTTGTCTTGCTTCCTGAGATTTTTACCTCCTGTTGCTGATACAGGGCTCCATGCATCACGCCACATGAAGACTCTTGTCAGCATCGTTTTCCTTACCCCCAGTCCTTTCCTCTCTTTGTTTGGCTGTAATTTTGTTGGTTTTGAGGAAGCCTGACTGCCAAGGCCAAGCTGGTGGATAGAGGGCTTCCTTCCAGGGGCTGTCAAGATAGTCTTCATAAAATGTTACAAGTGGGAAGGAGAGACAGTTGAGGAGGCTTTATAATTGGATTGTTTTCAGGCATTTGACTTGTGTTCTATAGGTGGTAGACCTGATCAGTCTTCACAACTGACCTTTTTCCGCAAGGTAATGACTTCCCTTGGGATCAGAGGCTCCAGAGCTCAGTTTGAAAAGTGACTCAAAACTGTAATGCATCAAATGATTGAAAATGCCGGACAGAGCTCTAGGTCCCCTTAGCCATTAGGTTCAAAGGCTCGTGTGTGTGTCCGCACAGGATTTGACTGAGCGCGTCTGATTGGAACTACAGCGAACGAAGCACAATTCCACCTTGCCTGGAGAGACTGGATCTTTTTGGTGACAGGATGTTGAGTGAGCTGGGAAGGGCAGTATACATTTCAGGAGGAAGAGGAAGAGTGTGGGAGCACAGGCATCATCACCAGTACAACAATCCCCTGCATAGAAATGTTCTGCAGTAGGAGAGATTAAAATGGACAGGGGAAAAGAGCCTCATCTAGTCCTGTTTGGGGGAGACAGATAGAAAAGAGGGAGATCAGTAATACCCTATTACATTGATACAGCAGCTTGAATCACAAAACATCAGACAGGAATAACCTTCTCCTCTGTGGTGAAGTGCAACCTTGATTTACCATGCACAATGACACTGCACAGCACTCTAGGACAGGAAGTGAAGAAAAATCTTGTCCATTTGCAATGGCTGTGCCAGTGGGGTTTGGAAACCCTTCTTCTCTCTTTGAAAGAGTGTAAGGGGATGGATTTGTCCTCTTCCCTCCACCACTGATATATAACCCCCTCTTCTCTCATGGGGTTTGTACCGTGGACATTTTACTGCATCTGTTTCTTCAGCAAGTCAGAGTGAAATGCTAGACTCTGCAAATGTGGAGCCAGGAAGTTCAGTGATGTAGAAAATAATTGGTGTTGGAGGCCACTGTTCCTCCCCCACACATCCCTTTGGGGCTGGGGGAATCGGGCAAGTGCATTAAAGCTGGAATATGTGGAAGGGCAGGTCAGGGTGAGAGGCTGCTCAAACATCATTAACCCTGTCACTAGGAACTGTTGTTTTTCAGAAAGGATATATGCCTTGTCAGCGTTCATGGCTGCAGCTTGTAGATCTGGGGCTTTGTAGTAACACTCAGCATTTCTGAGAGGGCCTTCAATGGTTACACTTTGCTCCAGAATCTTGAAGAGATCGAAAGCAGTCACGTGCTGCACCTGATCTGAATGAGTGCTTTACAAACATAAATGACAGGCTAAGTTCATTAATGAACTGATCCCCTTCTACAGATGGTGGCATACCAGGATGGGGAAACGACTTGCCCAAGGTCACAAATCCATGGCAGAGTTAGGTCTAGCATCCAGTTTGCCCGACTTCTAGGCTTGTGGTTTAACTCCAGATGCCGCCCTTGTGCCTTTTACAAAGCAAGGTGTCCAGCAGTGATGGCAGCCTTTGCAGTGCTATGTCTTTTTTTTTTTTTTTTGTTTCTGTTCCATCAGGAAGCTGAGTTCATAGGCTTAGCAGTGGCTTCTCCCACTGAGCGGAACACACTCTCACATTCCTGTGAGGAATATTATTGGTTACTTTAATTAGCCTGTAGTATTGTGCTTCCCACCTGGGTGTTCTTTATAGCTTTTCATTACAGAGGAGCCTGGCAGTTGCTAATGTTTACATGTGCCGTGGCAGGTTTTTATACCCCGTGTAGCAGCAAGAACTTTACAATAAGCCATTGTCTCCACAGAGCCACACTTCATTTCCTATTCAAATTGGTTTGGAAGAAGGGAAGGGGGGTGGGGTGGGGTGGGGTGAGAGAATCATTGCTTAAGGGGGATTTCAGACCTGCTGAGAGAAGGGAGCAAATGCAGAGCTGCATTAGTGGCTGAGAACTCATCTGTAGCTTTGAACCCCCTGACTAGCCCTCCAGGGTGAAATCTTTCAAGTTTAAAATCCTCTTTCTCTTCACCTAAAAGGAGGAAAGTCCCCAATATTTCAGAAGGGACCTAGCAGGAAAAGGTTGATTTTGGCAGAACAGAGGGCAGGTGCTTGCTTGGGTCTTGGCGGTACAGGCCCATCAAATTAATGTTCAAAATAAAACCAAGCAAGCGTTTATCTCCCCCTAGTACTAACCCACCCTCCCCATCCTCTCTTGTGAAGCCTCCTGTTAAAACACAGTTCCTCTGACCTGAAGCTACCATCCCTTGATTCCTACTTAGCCCATACACATACCTGTAAATTTCCCTCTCCCTGTAACACTGAGAGCTCTTGGCTCCCCATGGGCTGGAGTTATAGCTGCATGTTTTATAGGTAGGCTTCGTGGTAGTTGGTGATGCAGAAGCGTTTTTAGAAGGGGTTGGTTTGCTTTTTTTCTATAAAATAGCCTTGTAAGTCTCCTGCTGAGAGTGTTGCCACCAAATAAATGTAAAGTCAAAGCTCTAGGGATAACATAAAAGCACAAAGCCCCCCCATGCCCTGCATTGCATTATCAAATACCTTTCCCTATCTGAGCAGATGACCAAAGTAATTGGCTTTTATGTCTCTCCTTTAATGTGGAGGTCTCAAACTGCCTTACAGACAGTTGGCTGATTAACCCTCAGCCCCATGGATGTTGAGATCAGAGAGATGAAGTGACTGTTTCGAGGTCATGCACTAAGTCGGGGCAGTATTGCAAATCGAATCCAGGAGTCCTGAATCCTTGTTCCCTACTCTAAGCACTAGAAACACTCCCTCCCAGAGCTGTAAATGGAAAAAGGGAATCTTGACTCCAAAGTCTCTTTAACCGCAATGGGGTGTGTGTACACACATAGGTTTCTACCCATTACTCAGTGATACCATGTATGGGAGTGGTTGTTCATGGTACAGAGAGTACTGTGATGTCCAAAACACCAGGTTGTGATGACATCGAGTGAGGGTGGAAGAGGGCAGTTGCAAAGAAGAGCGCTTCTATGTATTCTACATCTCTTTTTAGAGATGATATGGTCAGCTGGGGTTAGAGTGGGGAAAACTGGAAGGCAGGACTTCTGGGGTCCATTCTCTGCACTGACACTGATTCAGGTAAATTGCTTCACCTTTCTGTGTCTGTTTCGCTATCTGTAAAATGGAATGAGAACTTGGTCATCTCCTATGGCTACTGTGACGCTTGTGTAATGCCTTTGCAGTGCTTTGAGAGCTCCATAGACATGCCAGCTTGGTTATTAGTCAGCAGTGATGGAAGGCTGCACTTTTTGATGGAAAAAGTCGTCTTTGTGGTTCGGAAGAGTTAAATAAGAATTAATATGGCTACCAGTCACTGCTCCGGTTTAATTCTCTTTAATGAGGGTTTATTTTACAGGTGGCAGATGAGAATTATTGCACTCATCGTTTGAGATTAGGTGGACAGAGCTGGCAGGCTGATTATTTCATGACGTTTGTGATATTGAGGGAGAGCAGGGGTCAGGAGCCCAGCAGAAAGTTTGTGTGTGTACAAAATATCTAAATGAGAGAGAGAAAACAGTTGGCTTAATTGTTTGGCTTCCAGCAAACTTATAATAACGTGCTGAGGAGGAATCCTTTTCCTGGATAATTTTTCTGCCTGCAGGCCAGTACCCCCTGCCAACGCTGGATGTGAAAATATTAACCACCAAAGAAGCAAAGGAGGGGGAAAATGCTGATGTTGGCAGATCAGGAAGGAGAAAACTACCTGAAAAAGAAGCCCCTTCTAGCTTACCCACTAAGCATTTATATTTAATAAGACCAGCTTGGTGCTCTGTGACATTGCTGGTAATTGCAAATGGCTTATGCTGAGCTAGGATGGTGTCAGGGCATGAGCTTCACGTCGGTATTCAATCTGAGACTTCCTAAACCCTCCATCAGTTTAGGTATCATGTGAAGAATGAAGCTTCCTCGAGACCTCTCATATGGAGACAGCTATAAATCCACAAAGCTCAGTCTTCGGAAGCTCTGTAGTTGGTACAGGAGATATTAGGACTGATTCCTGGCTTGTTTTAGCAGCAAGCTCCATTCCCGGTTGTGTCTTGTTTTTTAAACTTTCTGTGGACTCCAGCTGATTCCTAGACCTTGTTTGCCTCTGCTCGTGTTGTAGGTCTTCCTTGCCATCCCTGCGCACAATCACAGCCCTGTTGGCCTAGTAGCCTTCTCCTCTGCAGCATCTGGAGTAGTCTTAAAGGACTTAAAGGATACCTGAAAACATCCCTTCTATCTTCACACCTCTTAATTTCTCTCCTTCACTATTGTTTTTGCCCTCTGTAGTGCCTTGTGGTACAGTTTGTTTAAAAGGTGCTACAGGAGAGTATATTCACTATCTGTGCGCGTGCATAGAACGAACGTACATACATACATATATAAGCACATCCCTACACCATTGTGGTGCTTAGATCCATATAATAGCTTGTGTATATCCTGCACCTTTGAGCACCTCCCCAGTGTTCTGCCTGCTATCTCTTCCCCACCAGGACTGCTCTGAATATTCCAAACGTCTGAGCAGCTTCTTACAGCTGGGAGTTCTTAAAAACCAGCCTGCCACAGAAACGTTTTTCTTCTCGGAGGAATGGTCACTGTTCAGTCCGAGAGCACTACAAGGCATCTAACAGGTTTCAGAGTAACAGCCGTGTTAGTCTGTATTCGCAAAAAGAAAAGGAGTACTTGTGGCACCTTAGAGACTAACCAATTTATTTGAGCATAAGCTTTCGTGAGCTACAG